ACGCAGAGGCGAATTTCTAATGAGCTACTGCCGCTCTGCTGAAGCGAAGTCCCAGAAAACGGCACAGGTTTTGTGATTTTGGCTAAAAATGGCATAATCATAATTTAAAGACCACTGGGAATGTTTAAAAATAGCTAAAAAATATGATCGGAGTGGGACTTTAAGTAAAAAAAAAAAAAAAAAATCCATGCTGTTTCTAACATATATTTAGCATATATTCCACACACGTTCCCCTGTGTGTGTGTGTGTGTGTGTGTGTGTGTGTGTGTGTGTGTGCGTGTGTGAGAGAGTGCGTGCGTGTGTGAAGAAAAATTATATTTTGAGATTTGGAATAAAATATATTTTAAGTAAAAAAAAAAAAAAAAAATCCATGCTGTTTCTAACATATATTTAGCATATATTCCACACACGTTCCCCTGTGTGTGTGTGTGTGTGTGTGTGTGTGTGTGTGTGTGTGTGTGTGTGTGTGTGTGTGTTCTTGCACACTATCTTTTGCACTGTTTAAAATAGCATCAGATGTTTTTCTTTGGCAATATTGTTCCCCCAGTGAATCTCACACTGAGGGTGAGCGGCTTCAGCGCTGTGTGTGTGAAGGTGAGAACTTGAGGAAAGTGTCCTGATGCTGTGTAAGGCCGTGTGTCCACCAAAGCGTTTTTCCACGCGCCTGGCGTGTGTTTTCAATTGTTTTCAATGGGAGCGGCGCGTTTTTTAAACGCCATGAGCGTAACGAGGCGCTGAGCGGTGTTTTCACGCTGAAGCGCTCGGTGTTTTAAACAGGTCGACGAGAGTTGAAGAATGTTCAACTTTGGGTAAAACGCAGCGCTCATCACTGTCACTTTACACAGCCGTCCAATCACAGTGGAGGAGGGGCGGGGCTAATACCACACCGACCAACTGTCACAACATTCTTTCTGTACAACGACAACAACCAGCAGAGCTAACCGAACAAAATGGATGAAAAATAATATTTTAGTATGAAACAAATGATCTGCGAAATCAGTTACAAGTAAACTGTGCTGCGGATATTCTGTATCATAGCAACGAAACGTCTCAGCGGAAAAAACACTGCGCTGCCAAAACGCTCTCAAGCGCCACAGCTAGGCGTCTTCAGCGGAGCGTTTGGTGGACACACGGCCTTAAGGACATTTCTTGAGCACAATCCCAGAATGCACTGCACTCCGTTTAGTGAAAACAAGTTCATGAAGGATTTATGTGATGCTGCTTCACCTCAGAGGATCGTCTCACCGGGTTTATGATGAGATGTGAAGCTCAGTCTGATCTCAGAGTCGCATCATCTTCTACAAAATTAATATGTCTTTTAAATCTGTTCGTCCACTTTCACAGTCATGTGACTTCTTTACTGAGATAGTCATGTGATCCATGGCGAGTCAACACAGGCCTAAAGCCTCAACCTGTTATTTTAGTCTAACCCTATTATAGAGTCTTCATATTTATATATATATATATATATATATATATATATATATATATATATATATATATATATATATATTGTTCAATATTTTGAACAAGTTTATATTTATATATTTTCAATTTATTTCAGTCATTTCACAAGATCATCCCACTGAACAAAGCGATTGCATTGACCAAAACAAAACGATAGAGAAGCAGAAGCTAAGATTGACTTTAATCTTAAACCGCGTGATTACAGAACGCATCACTTCCTGTTTTCTGAGCTCATCTGAGGAGCGTTTGAGGGGATCTGGGAGTCTCGGCTGCCGTCTCGATCCAGCTGTGTGGAAAACCTCAAACAACCCGTCTCGAACGCTGAACTCTAGAGGAAGTTCAACCTCTCTCTCTCTCTCTCTCTCTCTCTCTCTCTCTCTCTCTCTCTCTCTCTCTCTCTCTCTCTCTCTCTCTCTCTCTCTCTCTCTCTCTCTCTCTCTCGCTTTGCTCTCTTTCTCTCTCTCGCTCTCTCTCTCTCTCTCTCTGCTTTGCTTCCACATTCTTCGGTGCGTCGTCTCTTCCAGTTTTTCCATCATTTGTGTGTAAGAGAGTGAGTGTGTGAGTGTGTGAGTGTGTGAGTGTGTGAGTGTGTGAGTGAGTGAGTGAGTGAGTGAGTGAGTGAGTGAGTGAGTGAGTGAGTGAGTGAGTGAGTGAGTGAGTGAGTGAGTGAGTGAGTGAGTGTGTGAGTGTGTGAGTGAGTGAGTGAGTGAGTGAGTGAGTGAGTGAGTGAGTGAGTGAGTGTGAGTGAGTGTGTGAGTGTGAGTGTGAGTGAGTGAGTGTGTGAGTGAGTGAGTGTGTGAGTGTGTGAGTGTGTGAGTGTGAGTGTGTGAGTGTGTGAGTGTGTGAGTGTGTGAGTGTGTGAGTGAGTGAGTGAGTGAGTGAGTGAGTGAGTGAGTGAGTGAGTGAGTGTGTGTGTGTATCATGTCTATCGAGAGAGATGATTGGATGATGCATCTGAAGCTCTTCTTCTGTGGAGTGTTGAACTGCAGGTGTAGTCGTGCTCTTTGTTCCCGTCACTCTTCAGATCCGTCCGTCTCCAGCGCTTCACAGCTTTCCTTCTGGTCGTCATGGAGACGCTCTGAGACTCTGAGCTTCGCCATTTTTCTGTCACGTTTGCCGTTTCTTTGAGTAAAATTCATGACATTTACTCTGTGAAAGGACCGTATGAACGAGAGCGTCACACACACTCCATCTGAGACACATGACCTTTGATCTATCTATCTATCTATCTATCTGTCCGTCCGAGCGAGCTTGACTTTACTGGAATAATTTATGATTTCCATGAGCGTTTATGGTTTTACCACTTTCCATGACTTTTCCAGAAATCACACTGTTTAAAATCGGCTTTTCGTGTCCAAGTTTTCCGTAGAGTGTGTGTGTGTCAGTATCAGTGTGTCCTGCAGTGTGTGTCAGTATCAGTGTGTCCTGCAGTGTGTGTCAGTATCAGTGTGTCCTGCAGTGTGTGTGTGTCAGTATCAGTGTGTCCTGCAGTGTGTGTCAGTATCAGTGTGTCCTGCAGTGTGTGTCAGTATCAGTGTGTCCTGCAGTGTGTGTCAGTATCAGTGTGTCCTGCAGTGTGTGTGTGTCAGTATCAGTGTGTCCTGCAGTGTGTGTGTGTCAGTATCAGTGTGTCCTGCAGTGTGTGTGTGTCAGTATCAGTGTGTCCTGCAGTGTGTGTCAGTATCAGTGTGTCCTGCAGTGTGTGTCAGTATCAGTGTGTCCTGCAGTGTGTGTGTGTCAGTATCAGTGTGTCCTGCAGTGTGTGTGTGTCAGTATCAGTGTGTCCTGCAGTGTGTGTGTGTCAGTATCAGTGTGTCCTGCAGTGTGTGTCAGTATCAGTGTGTCCTGCAGTGTGTGTGTGTCAGTATCAGTGTGTCCTGCAGTGTGTGTGTGTCAGTATCAGTGTGTCCTGCAGTGTGTGTCAGTATCAGTGTGTCCTGCAGTGTGTGTCAGTATCAGTGTGTCCTGCAGTGTGTGTGTGTCAGTATCAGTGTGTCCTGCAGTGTGTGTGTGTCAGTATCAGTGTGTCCTGCAGTGTGTGTCAGTATCAGTGTGTCCTGCAGTGTGTGTGTGTCAGTATCAGTGTGTCCTGCAGTGTGTGTGTGTCAGTATCAGTGTGTCCTGCAGTGTGTGTGTGTCAGTATCAGTGTGTCCTGCAGTGTGTGTCAGTATCAGTGTGTCCTGCAGTGTGTGTCAATATCAGTGCGTCCTGCAGTTTGTGTGTGTGTTTGTGTGTGTGTGTGTGTCAGTATCAGTGTGTCCTGCAGTGTGTGTCAGTATCAGTGTGTCCTGCAGTGTGTGTGTGTCAGTATCAGTGTGTCCTGCAGTGTGTGTCAGTATCAGTGTGTCCTGCAGTGTGTGTCAGTATCAGTGTGTCCTGCAGTGTGTGTCAGTATCAGTGTGTCCTGCAGTGTGTGTGTGTCAGTATCAGTGTGTCCTGCAGTGTGTGTCAGTATCAGTGTGTCCTGCAGTGTGTGTGTGTCAGTATCAGTGTGTCCTGCAGTGTGTGTCAGTATCAGTGTGTCCTGCAGTGTGTGTGTGTGTGTGTGTGTGTGTCAGTATCAGTGTGTCCTGCAGTGTGTGTCAGTATCAGTGTGTCCTGCAGTGTGTGTCAGTATCAGTGTGTCCTGCAGTGTGTGTCAGTATCAGTGTGTCCTGCAGTGTGTGTCCTGCAGTGTGTGTCAGTATCAGTGTGTCCTGCAGTGTGTGTCAGTATCAGTGTGTCCTGCAGTGTGTGTGTGTGTGTGTGTGTGTGTCAGTATCAGTGTGTCCTGCAGTGTGTGTGTCAGTATCAGTGTGTCCTACAGTGTGTGTGTGTCAGTATCAGTGTGTCCTGCAGTGTGTGTGTGTCAGTATCAGTGTGTCCTGCAGTGTGTGTGTCAGTATCAGTGTGTCCTACAGTGTGTGTGTGTCAGTATCAGTGTGTCCTGCAGTGTGTGTGTGTGTGTGTGTGTCAGTATCAGTGTGTCCTGCAGTGTGTGTGTCAGTATCAGTGTGTCCTGCAGTGTGTGTGTGTGTGTGTGTGTGTGTGTGTCAGTATCAGTGTGTCCTGCAGTGTGTGTGTCAGTATCAGTGTGTCCTGCAGTGTGTGTGTGTGTGTGTGTGTGTGTGTGTGTGTGTGTGTCAGTATCAGTGTGTCCTGCAGTGTGTGTGTCAGTATCAGTGTGTCCTGCAGTGTGTGTGTGTGTGTGTGTGTGTGTGTGTCAGTATCAGTGTGTCCTGCAGTGTGTGTGTCAGTATCAGTGTGTCCTGTAGTGTGTGTGTCAGTATCAGTGCAGACTTCATCAATAACTCAATCTCTAATTTAAATATACTGTGAAATGTATTTGTAATGAAAGTTTGTTTTAATCTCTCTCTCTCTCTCTCTCTCTCTCTCTCTCTCTCTCTCTCTCTCTCTCTCTCTCTCTCTCTCTCTCTCTCTCTCTCTCTCTCTCTCTCTCTCTCTCTCTCTCTCTCTCTCTCTCTCTCTCTCTCTCTCTCACACTCTCTCTCTCTCTCTCTCACTCTCTCTCTTCTCTCTCTCTCTCTCTCTCTCTGTCTCTCTCTCTCTCTCTAGGCTGCGAACGGTTATGTTCTGTTGTTCGACATCCTCGGCGGGTCGGATGAGAAGTACCTGTACGAGCCGGTCTATCCCAAGTGAGTGACCCTTGACCTTTGACCCTGCTAGTCTGTAGTCTGCTGGTACTTTTAGCTTCAGCAGATTCAGACGTCCCAGCAACAACCTTCTGCATTTGTACAATAAAAAAAAAGTATCAACAAGGCATTTTCGCCCACAGGACTGCCGCATACTGGATGTTTTTCCCTTTTCACACCATTCTTTGTAAACCCTAGAAATGGTTGTGCGTGAAAATCCCAGTAACTGAGCAGATTGTGAAATACTCAGACCGGCCCGTCTGGCACCAACAACCATGCCACACTCAAAATTGCTTAAATCACCTTTCTTTCCCATTCTGACATTCAGTTTGGAGTTCAGGAGATTGTCTTGACCAGGACCACACCCCTAAATGCATTGAAGCAACTGCCATGTGATTGGTTGATTAGATAATTGCATTAATGAGAAATTGAACAGGTGTTCCTAATAATCCTTTAGGTGAGTGTATATCTACATGAAATATTCATTCAAAATCACATACGTGCGCTAGAGCTGTATCTGTCCACACTAGACGCGACGCGACTGCGAGATGCGTCAAAATCAATCAAAACCCACAGCCAATCAGAGCAGCGTGTGGGCGGAGTCTCGCGAAACCAGAGAGTCGTCCTGACGGCACTCGCAAGAACATGGACAAGTACATAATCAAATTCACAAATATTACACCATTTAAACATTATTAAAAATACATAGGCTGAGTTACTACAACAATCTTTGTTAAAGAATACACTTGTTTGTTCACAGTTTGAACGTTCTTGTTTCCATTTGTTTAATTTCAAGATCTGAGGTGAATTATCTGTTGTTGCTTTTACGGCTGCAAAGCTGGAGCACTAAATGATATTCAGAGTCACATTACATGCTTTTAATATTAAATAAAGCACATAAACAGAGCCTGAGTGTCGCGGCTGGTTAGGACAAAAACTCTGATTAACATGTAAAAGAGGCGTTTTATCGCCTGTATGAGGGAACGTCTGGCAAGTCCACCAACTGCGTTAAGCGTAGCCTATAGTTTGTATTATTTAAAATTACTTTTAACATTTAAAAACAGACATTTTCATATTCCAAAGCTTGGGGAAGGTTCCCATTGGTGAGACTGACTTACTACAGGTGAAATTGTGCCAATACCTCCCTTCATGTATCTACAGTACACACTTATTTTTATATTTGTATAAAGGGTTTTTGGTGACTTACTACAGGTGAGATTATGCATTATTACCCTGTAGTACGCCAAGCCTGGGTACTGGACCTGTTAGCCCGTTTATTGGTCCAAATGGGGGTTTCCGCTAAGACGGGTGAAGGTCTCTGCGCGTTACTGTCTTTCCTTTTACGCAACACAACAAGATTAAATGAAATTTCTCATGTGTATTGCCTCGTTATTTCATCTGACTCCATAAATGAAAAAGGTTTTAATGATATCTGTGCATCATTAAAAGTGAGCGAATGTTTGATTATTCTTTTTAACTCTTTAATTATATTTTACCCGTTCAGATTAGGAAACTATATCGCTCAGAGGTCCTCGCGTCTTCTGTTTAACACGGGTCTCACGCTCGCAAGCTCAGAGGTAATTGCTATATAACTGAGATCGTTCACGTTTACACAATCAAAGATACTTTGGTATAACCCCTGTGGAATTGCATACACTTGAATTTAATTTAAACGTTTACTTCAGTAGAGGTATGGCCACTATTACAGATATAAGTCGACCAACATTACTTCTCTTATAATAGCTTTGGATTGGCCATGCCGTGGTTTCCCACGTACACTTATCTAAAGTAACATTAAATTAAAACAGAGGTAAGACACACACAGATTTAGGTTGGTCAAGCAGTGTTTTTGCTGTTCTAAACGGAAATTCACTTCTTGTCTTTGCGAACCAAGTACACTTGAATTAGCGCCAATTATTAGTTTTTACTAATCTGACGCAAAACTTGCACTAACATACGAATCCGTTTAATCTCCTTGGCAGGACAATGTCAGAGTCAGAAATGTAACAATTTTTTATGTCAAGTAAATGTATCATGCCAATTTTATAATCAATTCAAAGATAATAAATACAAAACATCAAATGCTCTGGAATAAAGAGAGAAGATGCGAACCCGACATTAGGAAATGCATGATGTGTAGTGTTTTGCATACACTCATCACGGGCTGATTTGAGTTACAAATCGCCACGAGCCTCTTCAGCATCTCCCTAAATACTCAGACCACGGCAGAAACCTCTTTTCACATGTAAACATGAGTTCACAGTGGGAAATTGCTTTAATCACCGTCCCAGACTTACTGGGGGGACAGACGTTGCTTGTCATGGGACAAACACACAGCTGTTAAAGAGGTCATATAATGCCATTTTTGTACAAGCTAATATGATTCTTTAGGGTCTAAATTAAAAGTTTGTAATATACTTTAATTAAAAACTCTCATTAGTATTGTAAGAAAACACTTATTTTACCTGGTTAAAAACAGCTCTGTTTTCAGCACGCCGTTTCAGTGCATATGCCTTTAAATGATAATGAGCTTCGCTGACCCCGCCTCTCTGTTCTGTGCGTACACCGTTTGTAACACAATAACACAATAACCATAACGCGTTGTTCAGTATAAACGTGGAATTATGAATTATATTGAGAACGCCATACATAGAAAACATGCCGTAATGTACCCTGAGTGTAAACCTTAGACGCATTCATTGTGAAGCGTGCAGCTAGCAATTTGCAAAGATTAACATAAATATTAATATAAAGTTTAATAAAACGTTACACTCACTTCAGTTGTTCTGGAGGTTTAGCAGGAACACGAATAGCTGGTACCGATCCTTTCTTCATGAGCAGCTTCTTAGCAAAACCAGCTTTACACTGATCCTCGTTTATAAAGCAGTCCACTGAGAAATGATTCGGCAAACATGAGAGCATTGACGTTGCTCGTGGGGAATATTCCCTTCGAAAACAAACTCAGCCACTGCGTCTTCAGCGGTTCGGATTTAGGAACATTAAAATGACTGTGTTCGTTATTACACCCAAGAACAGAACACCACAATCACTTAGACGCCATTCTGCTCATAGACAGTGCTCCAGCATATCAACAATGACCGCGCCGGTCCGCGCAGACTATGATTGACAGCTCACTCACGAGCGAGGGCGGGTCTGTGTTGAAACGATGCTGTCAATCAACAATCGTGGGAGGGGCTTCCGAGCGTGTGACGTCACAGGCTCGAACGGCTCGATTTGAGACAGGGGAAAACATATAAGGAGATTAAAACAAAAACACTGGATGGATTTTTATCATTATATGATGGTTGTGTACAGGCACTGCCAACACACATTTCAGTACAATCAACTTGTAAAAGTGCATGTACCATTATATGACCCCTTTAACAAGATATCTCTAACCTCTCCACACTGGTTTACTTCTGTGGGAATGAGACCTGTGTACCAGTCGCACCGAGACATTTCAAATGATACCAAACATGTATAATACTGTATGATAATTGCTTATTTTAAACCATATAGATGTTTGGGTGTATTCAGGTCGGGATGGGTGAAGGGAATGATGTGTAAATTGGGAGGTGATCAACTCAAGTGTGATCGTGTGGTGGTAATATAGCAATAGTTCAAAGGCTTATTTCCTTTGTTTTCTCAGAGAAGTGTCCCTCTCTTCCAGTTTCTCAGTCCAGTCCCTCCAGAAAAACTTGATTATGCGATCGCATGATTTAGTGCATAATCAGCCAAAGTCCGCATATTTATGCAGGGGCCGCATTTTTTCAAATACGCCGCACTTTCGCTGCATAAATTGACGATTTCCGTGCAAAATATGCGGGGTTTGCATGATTTCATAATCCTCGTATTTTCGTTGCAAAAAAGTTTGCTTCACACAAGAGCAGCCATTTCCACCTGTTGCCATGGGAACATTATGAAGTGACGCAATTGACCCTTCGCTAAGCCACGCCCGAAAACCGCCACTGGCCAATCGTATCTTAGCAACCGTAACTAGGCGCGGGAGGTCTGGCAAGCTTTCGAGCGAGGAGCGTTGTGTGCATATGGATTGTGCAAATCTGATACCCGGTATCCTAAAAGTTTGGAATTGTTTTCCTTCCCGAAAAATCTAAAAGCCAAGGGGAGACATGATGGGCGTGGATCAAGCAGTGTGGGAGACCCCGTTCACAACTTATTCGACAGGATTAACAAAAACACCTATTGCTTGGAAGTTAGAAATAATGACGGCTCTTTGTTCATAATGCATATATTTTAACGTAAAATAAGACGATTAAAGACAAGACGGAGGCTCACTGACATACTTTAAAATATATTTAAGCATTTTGTTAATCGACGGCCTACTACCCCTGACTGAGTAACGTTAGCTTTACACTAACACTAACTCCCGGTGTTAGTGTTATTCCACAAGATTTATGGATAAATCTGGATAAACTGTTTGATTTATAATTATTAGATTATTTTCACATTTCACTTACCCTGCTGTGCACGAACATAGCTGTTCCTCAATTTGTGTGTTTCCCATTTGAATGATCAGCGTATGAGGCGGTTGCTGTTTGCGCAGGCACCATAGGCTTTAGCTTCATTTTTTTAAGAAATTATTCTCAAATCGGTTGCATATTTTGTCGTGGATATATATCCCTCGAATGCATACTGCAGTCCCTTTTGTCTTGCTCTCTCAGATATTTAACATGTTCGCTAAAAATGACTAATTATCTCATTGGGAATGTCTGACACCGGTGCATACACACTGTAATAGACGTACCAGGCGCGAAAGCTTGACAGGCGTAGCAACAGTAACTAGGGAGGGCGGGGCTTAGCGAAGGGTCAATTACGCAACATGAACATCATCGAAAAGCTGTAAAACAGGAGCACACTTTATTTTTTTATATTTTATTATCTATTCATCAAGTTGTAGCATATTCCTTTTGTAAAGCTACAGAACTTGTTTGGCTCATCAATGTTTTGTAAGTTTGTTGTGTTTATTAAGGTCTGAAATAAAACAAGATGAGAACTGAAATATTCCAGCACTTTCTGTGATGTATATGCTTGCTTATCATAGGAAGTAATAAGAAATGACTCTTTACATTAAAGCAACACGCCGACTTTTTGGGACTTTAGCCTATTCACCGTATCCCCCAGAATTAGATAAGTCCACACATACCTTTTTCATCTCCGTGCGTGCTATAAGTCTATCTGACGCACCCACCGCTAGCCTAGCTTAGCACAAAGACTGGATGTAAATGGTTCCAGCTAGCATACTAATCCCAATAAGTGACAAAATAACACAAACATTTTCCTATTTACATGTTGTGATTTGTATAGTCACAGAGTGTACAAATAACAAGGTCATATGAGAGACACAGCCATCTTTTAACCGTATAAATACTGGGAGCTATATTCTCAGAAGGCGAAGCACTGCTACTTGGGCGGAGTGATTAGCGCAGCACCCGAGACGCACCGTGATGAGGAGCAGAGAGTTCGTTCAGAGTTGGAGTAATAAGAGTCAGCAATTACTAGATAGTAAAAGCATAGTTTATCATGGGTGTTCGCTGTATTGTAAAGAGCTGCGACAATAAACAGGGGAGACCAGGTAATACCATGATGTTTCATAGAATTCCAACCGTAACATAAGAGCAGTCTTAAATTAGTTAAATAGTTTGAGATCCGCGTGCAGCAGCGGCTGGTTTTAAAGGGACAGCAGCCAATAAAGTTTTCTGTCAGTAAAGTTAATCTAAGAACAAAAGGAACAGAGAAAATTACTCACTGCTCTTGACTAAATAACTTTTTTTAGCTTTAATAAGAATTAGTCTATATTTAATTTATTTATGCCGTGCGGACTGTTTGATAACTTTATTAAATTTCTGTATACGCCCTACCTGTTACTGTGCGTTCACACCGGACGCGAATAGCACGTCAAATTCGCGCCTGACGCGTCTAGTTATACGCTTGACCACTTTGTGTTAATTCGCGTGTCAGAGGCGAAATCCGAAGGCGAAAGTTTCGAAACCCGTCGGCGGCCATCTTTTTAGATGTTTATCGAGCATTAGCATTAGCATTATTCGAGAGAGTCACCGCTGGTATATGCTCTGGAGAGCAGAAACAGCTGCGTAGGGGACATCGTCGCTGTACTCGGGTCCACCAGACCCTCCGGAGGGTTTCAGGAGTTTCACCATTTGCTCCAGGAGCTATAGGTTTGGTGGACCTAACGGTGAGGACGCTGACGAGGACAGCGTAGGCCGTATAAGCCCTCGGCCTCCAGTGGTCTATGCCTGACGAGCCCGCGCTCTACAGCCCGGCGCGAGGTTCACCCTCGCCCGCATCCACCTAATCTGTCATTTATTTTTGTTTTGATAATAAATGTAGCCTCCAAAAGTGAAACCTGTCCTGTGATTTTTGTTTAAGTTTTTATACAACAAACACAATTTAGTGTATAAAAACTTAAACAAAAATCACAGGACAGGTTTCACTTTTGGAGGCTACATTTATTTTGGAGGCTACATATCTATTCTAGATATGGAATAAATAGCATTCAATACAAAATGTGAGTATCTCTCATATATTGAAATCGAGTTTTTATGTGAAAGATTTGCTTTGCACACCAAGCATTTTTGTCATATTACAAAATAATTTATTGAGGCCAAACATAAAATAACATTATAAACTGTCACTTCACCACGTGACAGCAGCAAGCAGCTAGGCTCCTGATTGGTTAACGCGGCGCGAATTGACGCAGAAGTTCAGATTTTTCAACTCGGGCGGCAGACGTGAATTTGCGTCAAACGCGAGAATGCACAAAAAGCACTACATAAAACATTCGCGCGTAACGCGCCAGACGCTCGATTCGCACCATTCACGCGAACTTGACGCTATATACACGCCGCAGGAATTTTTTATGCGCGTAACGCGTCTTTGGATTGACTTAACATTGAAATCACTCGCGCCTGACGCGCTATTCGCGTCCGGTGTGAACGCACACAGGAACAGCACAGGTAAATATGACATTTATTTTGGGTTTATGTGAGGATTGTTTGAAGTTCACTTAAATTAAAAGTTGTTTGTTATATTTTTTTGAAGCCCAATAAATGTTAAAAAATTGTTAGGTTTCAATTACACTGTAATGTTGGATGGCTATAATTGTTTAAAATCATTTTTATCCAGATATCAATAGCTGTATTAGTATATCAGTGATACTGACCTTCATTCATAAAAAGATGCCATTAAACAAGTATTTAAAATATACTGTCTTTATGTTGTCTCTACATTCATTTTATATTTAAACTAATATAAACCTATAAAAATGTAAGGGTTTTAATTGCGATTAATCACAGAAAAAATGTGTGATTAATCGAGTACATTTTTTTAATTGATTGACAGCACACACACACACACACACACACACACACACACACACACACACACACACACACATATATATATATATATATATATATTAAAATGAAAAAAGACATCAAAAAGCATATTTAATTTGAAGATTCCTGCAGAAACCCTGGTTGCCGTAACAATGTGACTGTGCGCTGAGTGACGGCCTTTCAATGCGCACAAACACACACACCTGTAGCCCATTAACCTCAATTAGACTCCAAAACACACACACACACTCTTCAGATCTTCAAATGTCAGTGTTCAGGATGGCGTTTGTCAAGTCAGGACATGTTCCACACACTCTGTGTGTGTGTGTGTGTGTGTGTGTGTGTGTGTGTGTGTGTGTGTGTGTGTGTGTGTGTGTGTGTCGCTGTGCTCGTGTTGTTTTCATCTCTCATCTGTAAATATCAAGGAATATAAAATGCTGTTTAAGGGCTGGGACTGTGTTTATAATGGTGTGTGTGTGTTGTGTGTAATGAAGCATTCAGACTAAATCACACAGACTTAACAGATTATGTTATTCTTCCGTGTGTGTGTCAGGGGCAGTGCTCGTGTTAAGGTGACTCCGGGCTATAAGGAGGAACAGTGCGCTCCAGCTCTGACTCTCGAGATGAAGAAACCTGTCGACCTGGAGGCTCCTATCAGCTGGTACATAAACACACACACACACACACACACACTCACTACACACGCACACACACTCACAATCACAACACACACACTCACTACACACGCACACTCAAAACACACACACACTCACTACACACGCACACTCAAAACACACACACACTCACTACACACACACACTCAAAACACACACACACCACACACATTCATTCACACATTCACACACACATTCACACTCTCACATTCACACTCTCACATTCACACTCTCACACACAGACACACACGCGCACTCACACACGCGGAAAACAAAAACATTGTTAATCGGTTTAGTTAGCAATAATAATCCTGGTGTGAAAAAATGAGCAAACCAGGACTCTAGATGAAGTTTGAATATAAGTTCTAACTGGTAGAAAATGTACAGCACAACTCTTGCAATGAAAATAACCTGTGTGTGTGTAAAGGTGACCTAACGGTGTGTTGGTAATCGTGTCTGTGTGTGTGTGTGTGCGAGAGAGAGAGAGAATGTGACCTAACGTTGTGTTGGTAATCAAGAGGCTTTGTGTGTGTGTGTGTATAAATGTGACCTATCGTAATGTTGGTAATCCAGAGGCTTGATCTGATGTGAAGTGTGTGTGTGTGTGTGTGTCAGTCTGCAGACGCTCCAGGAGGATCTGTTAGTGGCGACGGCTGATGGTTTCCTCCACATGTTGCACTGGGACAGTGTCAGTAACGGCAGGAGAGCAGTGAACCTGTGCACCGTTCCCTTCTCCCTCGACCTGCAGTCCTCCAGAGGTCACACACTCTATAGACACACTCTATATACACACTCCAGAGGTCACGCACTCTATAGACACACTCTATATACACACTCCAGAGGTCACACACTCTATATACACACTCCAGAGGTCACGCACTCTATAGACACTCTCCAGAGGTCACGCAATCTATAGACACACTCTATATACACACTCCAGAGGTCACGCACTCTATATACACTCTATATACACACTCCAGAGGTCACGCACTCTATAGACACACTCCAGAGGTCACACACTCTATAGACACACTCCAGAGGTCACACACTCTATATACACTCTATATACACTCTATATACACACTCCAGAGGTCACGCACTCTATATACACTCTATATACACACTCCAGAGGTCACGCACTCTATATACACTCTATATACACACTCCAGAGGTCACGCACTCTATATACACTCTATATACACACTCCAGAGGTCACGCACACACTATATACACACTCCAGAGGTCACGCACTCTATATACACTCTATATACACACTCCAGAGGTCACACACTCTATATACACTCTATATACACACTCCAGAGGTCACGCACTCTATATACACTCTATATACACACTCCAGAGGTCACACACACACTATATACACACTCCAGAGGTCACACACTCTATATACACTCTATATACACACTCCAGAGGTCACACACTCTATATACACTCTATATACACACTCCAGAGGTCACGCACTCTATATACACTCTATATACACACTCCAGAGGTCACACACACACTATATACACACTCCAGAGGTCACGCACTCTATATACACTCTATATACACACTCCAGAGGTCACACACTCTATATACACTCTATATACACACTCCAGAGGTCACGCACTCTATATACACTCTATATACACACTCCAGAGGTCACGCACTCTATATACACTCTATATACACACTCCAGAGGTCACGCACCCTATATACAGTCTATATACACACTCCAGAGGTCACACACACAATATATACACACTCCAGAGGTCACGCACTCTATATACACTCTATATACACACTCCAGAGGTCACACACACACTATATACACACTCCAGAGGTCACGCACTCTATAGACACACTCTATATACACACTCCAGAGGTCACACACTCTATATACACTCTATATACACACTCCAGAGGTCACACACACACACACACTATATACACACTCCAGAGGTCACACACACACACACACACACACACACACTATATACACACTCCAGAGGTCACACACACTCTATATACACACTCCAGAGGTCACACACACCTCACACACTCTTCATTTACTGTATGACCAGTGAACCTGTGCACCGTTCCCTTCTCCCTCGACCTGCAGTCCTCCAGAGGTCACACACACTCCATATACACACTCTATATACACACTCCAGAGGTCACACACACTCTATATACACACTCCAGAGGTCACACACTCTATATAAACACTCCAGAGGTCACACACACACCTCTCACACACTCTTCATTTACTGTATGACCGGTGAACCTCAGGAGGTCACACACACACACACACACACACACACCTCAGACACTATATACACTCTTGAGGTCACACACACACCCACACCTTACACACCCTATATACTGTATGACCAATGAACGTGTTCAGATTTAATCCAAACAAAAGTTCCTGTGTGAAAAGTTCATCTCTGACGAACACATGAAATAACAATGCAGTATTTTTATTAACTTAGATTAATAAAGATTAATACTGTAACAAATGTATTGCTTATTGTTATTTAATGTCAAGTTAGGGCTACCATTTCTTTTAATGTAAACACTGTATTTGTGAATGGTGGTTACTTATCGTATTGTTTTGTTATACATTAGGGCTGTGACGGTGGCAGGCCGAGGGTGTTGGGGGGTGTTTTATTTATATATAAATAAAGAGAAGGCTTTACAAATGAACTTGACGCGCCTTACCAAGTCTGATAACACGCACTAACTGTGTCAAAAAGGATTTGACGTGCAAGTACAAAGGTAGGCGATCTTTCCTACAGCGCTCACCACAGTGAAGGATGCGAATATAATGGGCCTAATTAAAAGCGAACCAAAGGAAGACACGTTTATAATCCCCGGCGGAAATGTGTGAGACGTGAGTGAAGATTTGAGAAACGAAACGAGATTTCATGTCCAGGGGAATAAATAATGGAATAGTGTTAAATTCGCTGATGATCGGGTGCAAAACAGAAGCTTAAATGTAGAGCTCACACACAACTCTCTCCTTCCTCTCCAATCCACACGTTCGGCTGCGATGTAACGTTTAATCACTAACCTATTATTTCTTTTGTAAACGAAGCTTTCTGCTTCACTCCTGTCATAATATTCATGTAAAACAGCATTCACATACAAAAAACTGTGTTTTGGCGGAGCAGCCACAAGTTTACCGGCACAGCCCTATTATACACGCCAACTGTGTTTGTCAAGCAATTCATTAAACAATCTGACATTAACATATTTATTACCAATAATTAATGCCAGTGGCCGATAGCACAAACTGCTGAGACTAATATTGCCTAAGGCTAATGTTGCCAAACTGCTAAGGCTAATAAGTCAGTTACATAAAAAGCTAAAACCCTGTTATAATATTTTAGTTATGCAATATTAGTTAGTGCATTAATACTAACGAGACCTTTTTGTAAAGTGTACAATCTTTATTTGCTGTATGACCCGTGATGATCCTGACCGGTGAACGTGTTCGGGATAATCCAGTCAGTTCCCGTGTGTGTATCAGCATTGATTCCTGCACTGACACGAACAGAAACCTCAGCAGTGGATCTAAATAATGACGTGTGTGTGTGTGTGTGTGTGTGTGTGTGTGTGTGTGTGTGTGTGTGTAGGAGGGCCGTGTTTGGACCTGGAGGGCGTTTACATTCGGGATATGGAGTATTGCTCTACGCTGGACGGGTTTGCTGTCGTGTTCGATGACGGGAGACTAGGGTTCATCACGCCGACTGCAAACAGACTCGCCACTGACGTGAGTGTTCACACACACACACACACACACACACACACACGTTATGATTCACTGATACTGTATGTGCAGATTATCCTACTTTAACTTCAACTCTTCAGAGATGATTCTCAAGATGTACACACTCACATACACACAAACACACGTACACAACACAAATCACACCTGAGATAGACACACACACGCACACACACACACAACACATCACACTTGAGAGAGACACACACGCACACACACACAACACAAATCACACCTGAGATAGACACACACACGCACGCACACACACAACACATCACACTTGAGAGAGACACACACACACACACACGCACACAACACAAATCACACCTGAGAGAGACATACACACACTTACACACACACACACACACACACACTTACACAGCACGCTCCAGCATGACAGTAGTTGATCTGAAAGACTGACCACAGAAGAGCGTTTACGCTCATGTCTGAGAATGCGACACGTTTAGATTGCGTTATGATTTTCAGAAATACACTGGCTTTTGTGTGTTCATGTACTAATGTTGCGTGTGTGTGTGTGTGTGTTTCTCTGCAGCAGCTGCAGGGCGTTTGGGCCGCTGATGTCTCTGATGGCACGTGTGTCGCCGTCAACAACAAATACAGACTAATGGCCTTCGGCTGCGCAAGGTGTGTTTGTGTGTTTGTGTGAGAGAGTGAGAGAGTGTTATCTGTCTGTGTCTGTGTGAGAGAGAGTGTGTGTGTGTTGTTCTGTCTGTCTGTGTCTGTGTGTGAGTGAGTGTGTGTGATGTTCTGTCTGTCTGTGTTTGTGTGTGAGTGAGTGTGTGTGTTGTCCTGTCTGTCTGTGTTTGTGTGTGAGTGAGTGTGTGTGATGTTCTGTCTGTCTGTGTTTGTGTGTGAGTCAGTGTGTGTGATGTTCTGTCTGTCTGTGTTTGTGTGTGAGTCAGTGTGTGTGATGTTCTGTCTGTCTGTGTTTGTGTGTGAGTCAGTGTGTGTGATGTTCTGTCTGTCTGTGTTTGTGTGTGAGTCAGTGTGTGTGATGTTCTGTCTGTCTGTGTTTTTGTGTGAGTGTGTGTGAGTGTGTTGTTCTGTCTGTGTTTGTGTGTGAGTCAGTGTGTGTGAGTGTGTTGTCCTGTCTGTCTGTGATTGTGTGTATCAGGTGTGATACACTATAATATTTTAGTAGTTATTCTCAGTCTAGATATATTTCGTCAGATAGAAATTGCTCTTTTTGTGAGTGATCATCTCAGATCAGCAGAAGTGTGTGTGAATCATGTTTATGGTGTGTGTTGCAGCGGGTCAGTGTTGGTCTACATGATTGACAGCTCGACAGGATCCATGCAGCTCTCTCATAAACTGGAGTTAACCCCTAAACACTACCCAGGTGAGGCTCTCCTCTGCACTCCTGCGACCTCAGACACACACACACATGCAGGAGGAGGCTCTTATTAACCTCAGACCCACAATCCTCTCTGATCCACTGACGCCCCCTGGTGGCTGTGTGTGTGTGTGTTTGCCTTTGGCTTGCTTAGTTGGGGACATTTAATTTAATATTCAACAATATTATTGATCTGCTGCATTGACGGCATTATATGAGAACTGAACTGAGCTGGACAATGACATCACGGTTTTCACCAGAGCCGCTATATATATATATAAATGAACTAAATTAATAACTTTTTTAAAAACAAAAATGAAACATCACTAAGCTTACTTAAGCTGGACTGTGACGCTTTTTTCTTCTGGAAACATTAACTTTGTTGCATTATTATTATTGTTTGAGGCGATCTGTATTGTAAAAGTGCCGCTGTATAAATAAAGGTGACGTGACTGTGGGAATCACATCATCAAACCCTCACATCACGGACTAGATTTCCTTAGAAGTGTCAGTCTGTCACGTTTGTTTCCTGATCCCCTGAGATGAACCATTGTAACAACAGGAAGTGCTGCTGTTAACGCTGTTTGCTGAGGCTCAGACAGATTTTCCCTGCTGTAGTTTGGGAGTTTAAATCAAATTTCAGATTATTTGAACTGTTTAACAAAAAAATTTGAATGAGGCCAGATTAAATTTGTAGCTTTTTTGGAGACGCAACGTTTGATTTTAATGTATTATTAAATGTTGAAAATAACATTATTAACTATTAAATGAACTAAATAAATGCTGTACAAGTATTTTAATTATGTTAACTAATGTAATTAATTAATGTTACTAATGAAACTTTGTTGCAAAGTGTTAGTTTATCACTGTCCCTGCGTCTCAGTGTTCACACCATCCATCCTAAACACAGTAGTGAAAGTTTGCCCATGATTCACTCCTCACGCCGTCCTAGGCTTTATACAGGGAGATGTGCACCTGCTTACAGGACATTACACTAGTTTTCATTTAACACCTCCAGATGGCACTTTCTCACTTCAAAAAAATGGATTTTAAAAGCCTCCACTCTATTTTAATGTGAAATATTGCATTTATAAAAAAAAAAAAAAAGTTCTAATTGAAAAAATAGCTTATTAAAATTGTATAAATATTGCATAGTGTCATAAAATCCCTTCAAAATTCTAAATAATAATCAAAAAATGTTGAACAAAAATATTTTACATTGGTTTTCCTGGAAAAAAAGTTACATTTCACTGCGGCCACTTTTGAACCCTGCTAATCGCATATTCTGTCTGCATTAAAGGATTAGTTCACTTTAAAAAAAACTTTTGCTGATTATTTACTTTCCCCCATGTCATCCAAGATGTCCATGTCTTTCTTTCCACGCGTTCGTGACGTCATGTAATACGCAATTACGTTGAAACGGTCTCACAGAACAGAGCAAGGCGAGCATTTGTGCAAACTGAAACTTTTTTATTTATTTTTTAAATGACCAATGGTTTCGCTAGATAAGACCCTTATTCATCGTCTGGTGTCGTTTAAAGCCCTTTGAAGCTGCACTGAAACTGTCATTTGGACCTTGAACCGTTTGGACCCCATTGAAGTCCATTATATGGAGAAAAATCCTGGAATGTTTTCATCAAAAACCTTAATTTCTTTTCGACTGAAGAAAGAAAGACATGGACATCTTGGATGACATGGGGGTGAGTAAATTATCAGCAAAAGTTTTTTTTTAAAGTGAACTAATCCTTTAACTAGTAAAAACAAAAACGTTCCTGTCCCAGAACAAAAAAAAAAATCCCGTTCCAGTTTACTTTCCATATGCTGCTCCTCATGTCCCTGTGTCCTGGAAACATCTCCCCTGGTTTAGTGTGTGTGAAGCTGGTTTTAACACCTCTCTCTCTCTCTCTCTCTCTCTCTCTCTCTCTCTCTCTCTCCCTCTCTCCCTCTCTCCCTCTCTCTCTCTCTCTCTCTCTCTCTCTCTCTCTCCCTCTCTCCCTCTCCCTCTCTCTCTCTCTCCCTCTCCCTCTCTCTCTCTCTCTCTCTCTCTCTCTCTCTCTCTCTCTCTCTCTCTCTCTCTCTCCCTCTCTCCCTCTCTCTCTCTCTCTCTCTCTCCCTCTCCCTCTCTCTCTCTCTCTCCCTCTCTCTCCCTATCCCTCTCTCCCTCTCTCGTCCCAGATGTGTGGAATAAAACGGGCCCGGTGAAGATGATCCGCTGGTCCCCCGACTGCAGTGTTGCCATGGTGACGTGGGACTGTGGGGGCCTGTCCCTGTGGAGTGTGTTCGGGGCTCATCTCATCTGCACACTCGGAGAGGACTTCGCGTGAGTCACATGACTTCATCACTGTCCCTGCGTCTCAATGTTCACACTAAACACAGTGTGTGAGATTACAATAAGTGTGTCCCAAAGCATAGTGTGTTGAAGAGTATGACCGGATGATCTACTATTCCCAGTGGATTAGTGTGGATCCGTGTTCACTATAACAGCTAATATTACCCATGATCCATTGCACTTTGGAGGAAGATTCAGTACAGAACTACAAACACGAGTAAAAGTGTTGTCAATGTGCGTGACTGACGGTTAAGTAGAGAGGTTAGACAAAGGGGTTTGAGTGACTAATAATCAACAATTAAGCTGATTAAAAATATTAATGTAATGTCATCCGTGTTATATTTCATCTGCATTCTGCAATAACCACGTGAACTTTAATAAAGATCCGTTTGGCCATTATCCGTTTGGCTTTATTCTGCATTAATATGAGGAGTCTCGTCATGAAAGACCCGCGACTGCAGATCAACGAGCATTTCTCTGATACAGTAGGAGATTAAATGACATGTGGAGGATAGTGACAGGTCAGGTCAGTACGCGGCAGGATGATTGACAGGTCAGTACGCGGCAGGATGATTGACAGGTCAGTACGTGGCAGGATGATTGACAGGTCAGTACGCGGCAGGATGATTGACAGGTCAGTATGTGGCAGGATGATTGACAGGTCAGTACGCGGCAGGATGATTGACAGGTCAGTATGTGGCAGGATGATTGACAGGTCAGTACGCGGCAGGATGATTGACAGGTCAGTACGGGCAGGATGATTTACAGCTCAGTACGGGCAGGATGATTGACAGGTCAGTACGTGGCAGGATGATTGACAGGTCAGTACGGGCAGGATGATTGACAGGTCAGTACGGGCAGGATGATTGACAGGTCAGTACGCGGCAGGATGATTGACAGGTCAGTACGGGCAGGATGATTGACCGGTCAGTACGCGGCAGGATGATTGACAGGTCAGTACGGGCAGGATGATTGACAGCTCAGTACGGGCAGGATGATTGACAGGTCAGTACGCGGCAGGATGATTGACAGGTCAGTACGGGCAGGATGATTGACAGCTCAGTACGGGCAGGATGATTGACAGGTCAGTACGCGGCAGGATGATTGACAGGTCAGTACGGGCAGGATGATTGACAGGTCAGTACGCGGCAGGATGATTGACAGGTCAGTACGCGGCAGGATGATTGCAAGACAGTTTGATGCGGCCCGCGAGTCAAATCCTCCCAAAAAAAAAAAAAAAAAAAGAACTTCAGAACCTAAAATCTCAGCAATTACTTTTCCTGTGACAGAAAACACAAAATAGGCAAAGTGGCAAGCAGGGCGAGGCCAGTAGCGCGAGTGTTAATGAGTCACCTGCGCACCGGTTTCAAGTTTCTCACGGATGAGCTTCGGGGGCGCGCGCGCCACACCGGTTACAAGTTTCTCACTGATCAGCTTCGGGGCGCGTAAAAGGATCGGAACGAAGACAGCGGAGGACCAGGCATGGACTTTACTTTATGTGTGTGTGTGGTCGTCGTCCACGAGGAGCTACTGCTTTTACTTTCGTTTTGTCATTTGCGTATTAATGTATTAAAGTGGTTTAAACGTTTGCCGGTTCCCGCCTCCTTCTTCCCTGAACAAACCAACCACGTTACATTTAATATAATAGATAATATACAATATTATAAAATAACATAATATATTATAAAATAACATAAGAGAGTCGACGTTTCCGGGTGGTCGCTTCGCTTCCGACTGTGTCCGGGTCACAGTCAGAATGAACGCAACAGACACGTAACGTTAGCGGTGGTCATCGCTGATATGCATCATGGCGACTGTCAAAAAAAAAGAAAGGTAGATTCGCCGACAGCAAGTGGAATGAGTGGCCGACTAAAGGAATGAGTCTGTGCTGATTTAGTGGAAAGAGTTGAGCCCAAGCTGTGGAAAGAGTATTATATTATGTGACTGTTTTTGTGCTTTTATCCACCTCTAAATAGCTATAAATTAAGCTTATGTCGTTTTAGTTTCATATTGTTAATTATTAGTTTCATAGGTTGTTAAACCTGAGACGAACTCTTTCATATTGTGCTGCATTACTGTCAGTGTTGTTGACATAGACAGTAAAAGAAATGGACAGAGCGATCTCATTGGAACTCATGCCGCGTTCCAGGCAACCTGTAACCCGTGTTTTTCCAACCTTATACCTGTGAAAGTGCACTGGAACGGCAGTCAAACCCGTGACTTCCCACCCGTGAACTCGTACTAGATCGATGTACTCCCAGTTACGAGTTCTGACGTCACATAGCCCGCAAAACCATACAAAACAACAATGGCAGCCCCTACGGATGCAGTGTTTCTGCAGGCGGTACACAGTGAGAATACACTTTAGGACAATATAACGTTGCAGTCAAATTAATAATAATATAATAATAATGATAATAATAAACACACGATAATGTATTACAATGTTATGTGTCTGAAACAATAAGTATGTATATACACACACGATTATGTAATACAATGTTATGTGTCTGAAAAAATAAGTATGTATTTTGCGCTCAGGTAGTTTGGCGTGACTGGCCTGGAACGCTACAAAGTCGTGAGTCGTGGTTTGAAGTCGTGATTTACGTGCTCAAAAACCTGCCTGGAACGCAGCATCAGTTGAGACAGTTGAAGCCCACTTTTAGCGATTTTTGAGAACTTCCGTTCCTGACGCGCAGACTCAGACCGACTCAAACTAAGCTTGATGACGTGAGCAACCTGTCTGACAGACGTGAATCTTCTAGTAGCTGTGCGTGAAAATTGCCAACGTTAATCTTGCAGAGACGGGGAACTTGAGCAAAGAGTCCTTTATCGTGAGTGAGCAGGAGTAAGTATTCCGTTGCTTTTATGGACTCATTATCTATGGGCTTCTCCCTTGACGGGACGTCCCCCCGATTGGCAGCGAGCTTCTCCTCCTGTCTGTACGGTAATTTCTGTACAGCGCGACAGAGAGTCGAGTGGTTATGACGCAATCGTTAGCCTATTTTTACTAAAACTGTTTCTACGGGGCCATAATGTAACATAGAAGGTAATGGAGCCATTTATACATTGTCGTGTTTCTTTAGAAATAAATAATGGACAAATGGAGTCTTTAAACGCCTCAGATGTAAAGTTATTCGCTGTCAAAGTGACGCCAAAATGAATGGTAGTCAATGGAAATGCTAACGCAAGTGAAGTTCTGCTACAAGATGGCGGCACCCGGCCGGCTTCAACTTCCGGTCGATGGATTACCCCCTTGGTTGTTGACTATTACTGACGGTGAGGTTGCGCTGTTGACGCTCGCGCAGCCTCTCGAGGAGAAATCTACACAAATGAGCGCACACACACACACACACACTCAGTTAACAACATACTGCCTATAAAATATCTAAATGTGGAGTTTTTATATTTTTAACATATGTTAAGCAACCTCAATTAACACCATCACGATTAAAAATGTGACATTGATTTCCTACAACAGTTCAATAAACAGTTAAAATTAAGTCACTTACATTTTAGATGCAATATTGGCTGTTTTTGTTCTGTTTCAGCAGCGAAAATAGTTCCAAACAAAAATCACAGCAGAACCACGGCGCATCTCACAGGAACACTCAACCTGTTTCCATTACTGATTCAGCATTTTGAACGAATGATTGAGTCAAAGATTCAATGACCCATTCATAAACATCTGTCTCAATCTTGAATGAATCAGCCGTTTGAACAAATCGTTTGAATGAATCAGCCGTTTGAACAAATCGTTTGTTTGAACAATCGTTTGCAAATCGACTCACTCATTAAGACGGTCGCCTGCCGCCACCTACTGGCGGTTTGTGTTATGTTTAAAAGTAGATCATTCTTTCCAACGTTTCTTATTTGTAAATTTAAATCAATTTCATAACATTATTTTATGCAATTGTAATTTTTCAGTGTAAATGATTTAATTTGATCAGCCCTATAGTGTCTTATTATTCGAAATAATTTAATTTATTGATCAAATTTAGGAATTTAAAATGAAAGATGAAGCATATATTTAATAATATTGGGGGAGGGGATGCCCTTTAAAGGTGCAAATATTACAATATGCCGATTTAAATCAAAGCTAATTGAACACTGATGAGAATATTGTTTCAGAATAAATTAACAAAAAAAAATAAAAAATCCGGACGAGAAACTTTTTTACTCGGACAAGTGAATGACAGATTACTTGTCCGAAGGACAAGCGTATGAAAGGCTTAATGTCGAGCCCTGCCTATAGCAATGTCATCAGGATACACATACACCGGTAGGCAGTGGCCCACCTTACCGGGTGACCACGTCGTGGTCCACCAGAATTTATAGTTTACCCACCTCTTTTTTTACCACTACACCTCTGAATAAAACGTACGAGTCCCAGTCATGCCGACCCTCTCTTCTTCCTTCCAAACACTGAACCTCATTACAATGGCCCTTAAAAATGTTAAAAAATTGTAAATGGCCCTTGATAGGAAAAAGGTTCCCCACCCCTGCTTTAGGGCGTAGTGTAAGTACACACTAACAGTCATGATTTAGGGCGTAGTGTAAGTCGGTGAGTTGAGACGCAGCTCTTTAATGTAACCAGCATGATCACTGATTGAGTTTTGCATCTGGTCTAATTAGTGTTAATGCATTAGCTAATATTGCATAACATATATATTACAACAGGTTTTATTTTCTTTATGCAAAAATATTATGTCTTGCTACTTGTAATATTGTGGTGACCTCGGTCCAGTTTCATACAGCCACTAAGTCACTAACTAGCAATTTTATTAACTAACTAACTACTAACTAGTCTGACCAACTAGCAATTAGTTAGGCCTATTCAGTCTTATTTTCATATTCAAATGATCAACAGTCTTAACCAAAAATTAGTCTAACTAGTAAGATTAGTCTTAGCAGTTTGTGCTATCGGCCACTGGTGTTTATTATTGGTAATAAATACTTTAATATCTGATTTTTTTTTTATGAACTGCTTGACAAACAACATAGTTGACATGTATAACAAAACAACACAATAAAGTGTTGTTGTTCCTGATGCAGTTATCGCTCAGACGGCACGAAGAAGGAGCCTCTGAAAATCAGCTCTATGGTGAGTGTGCAAACAAGCTCTTTATTCAACATCATCACAACACCATTTATAACCAACACAACTGCATTCATAACCAAAACATCTCCATTCATAACCAACACAACTCCATTCATAACCAACACAACTCCATTCATAACCATAACAAATCCATTCATAACCAACACAACTCCATTCATAACCAACACATCTTCATTCATAACCAACACAACTTCATTCATAACCAACACAACTCCATTCATAACCAACACAACTGCATTCATAACCAACACAACTGCATTCATAACCATCACAACTCCATTCATAACCAACACAACTCCATTTATAACCAACACAACTCCATTCATAACCATCACAACTCCATTCATAACCAACACAACTCCATTTATAACCAACACAACTCCATTCATAACCAACACAACTCCATTTATAACCAACACAACTCCATTCATAACCAACACAACTGCATTCATAAACAACACAACTGCATTCATAACCAACACAACTCCATTCATAACCAACACATCTTCATTCATAACCAACACAACTTCATTCATAACCAACACAACTCCATTCATAACCAACACAACTGCATTCATAACCAACACAACTCCATTCATAACCAACACAACTCCATTCATAACCATCACAACTCTATTCATAACCATCACAACTCCATTCATAACCAACACAACTCCATTTATAACCAACACAACTCCATTCATAACCAACACAACTCCATTTATAACCAACACAACTGCATTCATAACCAACACAACTCCATTCATAACCAACACAACTCCATTCATAACCAACACAACTCCATTCATAACCAACACAACTCCATTCATAACCAACACAACTCCATTCATAACCAACACAACTCCATTCATAACCAACACAACTCCATTCATAACCAACACAACTCCATTAATAACCAACACAACTGCATTCATAACCAACACAACTGCATTCATAACCAACACAACTCCATTCATAACCAACACAACTCCATTCATAACCAACACAACTCCATTCATAACCAACACATCTTCATTCATAACCAACACAACTTCATTCATAACCAACACAACTACATTTATAACCAACACAACTGCATTCATAACCAACACAACTCCATTCATAACCAACACAACTCCATTCATAACCAACACAACTCCATTCATAACCAACACATCTGCATTCATAACCAACACATCTTCGTTCATAACCAACACAACTTCATTCATAACCAACACAGCTCCATTCATAACCAACACAACTGCATTCATAACCAACACAACTCCATTCATAACCAACACAACTCCATTCATAACCATCACAACTCCATTCATAACCAACACAACTCCATTTATAACCAACACAACTCCATTCATAACCAACACAACTCCATTTATAACCAACACAACTGCATTCATAACCAACACAACTGCATTCATAACCAACACAACTCCATTCATAACCAACACAACTCCATTCATAACCAACACAACTCCATTCATAACCAACACAACTCCATTTATAACCAACACAACTCCATTCATAACCAACACAACTCCATTCATAACCAACACAACTCCATTCATAACCAACACAACTCCATTAATAACCAACACAACTGCATTCATAACCAACACAACTGCATTCATAACCAACACAACTCCATTCATAACCAACACAACTCCATTCATAACCAACACAACTCCATTCATAACCAACACATCTTCATTCATAACCAACACAACTTCATTCATAACCAACACAACTACATTTATAACCAACACAACTGCATTCATAACCAACACAACTCCATTCATAACCAACACAACTCCATTCATAACCATCACAACTTCATTCATAACCAACACAACTCCATTCATAACCAACACAACTCCATTCATAACCATCACAACTCCATTCATAACCAACACAACTCAATTCATAACTAACACAACTTCATTCATAACCAACACAACTGCATTCATAACCAACACAACTCCATTCATAACCAACACAACTCCATTCATAACCAACACAACTCCATTTATAACCAACACAACTCCATTCATAACCATCACAACTCCATTCATAACCAACACAACTCCATTCATAACCAACACAACTCCATTCATAACCATCACAACTCCATTCATAACCAACACAACTCCATTCATAACCAACACAACTCCATTTATAACCAACACAACTCCATTCATAACCAACACAACTCCATTTATAACCAACACAACTCCATTCATAACCAACACAACTGCATTCATAACCATCACAACTGCATTCATAACCAACATAACTGCATTCATAACCAACACAACTCCATTCATAACCATCACAACTCCATTCATAACCAACACAACTCCATTCATAACCAACACAACTCCATTTATAACCAACACAACTCCATTCATAACCAACACAACTCCATTCATAACCAACACAACTCCATTAATAACCAACACAACTGCATTCATAACCAACACAACTGCATTCATAACCAACACAACTCCATTCATAACCAACACAACTCCATTCATAACCAACACATCTTCATTCATAACCAACACAACTTCATTCATAACCAACACAACTACATTCATAACCAACACAACTCCATTCATAACCAACACAACTCCATTCATAACCAACACAACTCCATTCATAACCAACACAACTCCATTCATAACCAACACATCTGCATTCATAACCAACACATCTTCATTCATAACCAACACAACTTCATTCATAACCAACACAACTCCATTCATAACCAACACAACTGTATTCATAACCAACACAACTCCATTCATAACCAACACAACTCCATTCATAACCATCACAACTCCATTCATAACCAACACAACTCCATTTATAACCAACACAACTCCATTCATAACCAACACAACTCCATTTATAACCAACACAACTGCATTCATAACCAACACAACTGCATTCATAACCAACACAACTCCATTCATAACCAACACAACTCCATTTATAACCAACACAACTCCATTCATAACCAACACAACTCCATTCATAACCAACACAACTCCATTAATAACCAACACAACTCCATTAATAACCAACACAACTGCATTCATAACCAACACAACTGCATTCATAACCAACACAACTCCATTCATAACCAACACAACTCCATTCATAACCAACACAACTCCATTCATAACCAACACATCTTCATTCATAACCAACACAACTTCATTCATAACCAACACAACTACATTTATAACCAACACAACTGCATTCATAACCAACACAACTCCATTCATAACCAACACAACTCCATTCATAACCAACACAACTCCATTCATAACCATCACAACTCCATTCATAACCAACACAACTCCATTCATAACCAACACAACTCCATTCATAACCATCACAACTCCATTCATAACCAACACAACTCCATTCATAACCAACACAACTTCATTCATAACCAACACAACTCCATTCATAACCAACACAACTCCATTCATAACCAACACAACTCCATTCATAACCAACACAACTCCATTTATAACCAACACAACTCCATTCATAACCATCACAACTCCATTCATAACCAACACAACTCCATTCATAACCAACACAACTCCATTCATAACCATCACAACTCCATTCATAACCAACACAACTCCATTCATAACCAACACAACTCCATTTATAACCAACACAACTCCATTCATAACCAACACAACTCCATTTATAACCAACACAACTCCATTCATAACCAACACAACTGCATTCATAACCATCACAACTGCATTCATAACCAACATAACTCCATTTATAACCAACACAACTCCATTTATAACCAACACAACTCCATTCATAACCAACACAACTCCATTCATAACCAACACAACTCCATTCATAACCAACACAACTCCATTCATAACCATCACAACTCCATTCATAACCAACACAACTCCATTCATAACCAACACAACTGCATTCATAACCAACACAACTGAATTCATAACCAACACAACTCCATTCATAACCAACACAACTCCATTCATAACCAACACAACTCCATTCATAACCATCACAACTCCATTCATAACCAACACAACTCCATTCATAACCAACACAACTCCATTCATAACCATCACAACTCCATTCATAACCAACACAACTCCATTCATAACCAACACAACTCCATTTATAACCAACACAACTCCATTCATAACCAACACAACTCCATTCATAACCAACACAACTCCATTCATAACCAACACAACTCCATTCATAACCAACACAACTCCATTCATAACCAACACAACTCCATTCATAACCAACACAACTCCATTCATAACCAACACAACTCCATTCATAACCATCACAACTCCATTCATAACCAACACAACTCCATTCATAACCAACACAACTGCATTCATAACCAACACAACTGAATTCATAACCAACACAACTCCATTCATAACCAACACAACTCCATTCATAACCAACACAACTCCATTCATAACCAACACAACTCCATTCATAACCATCACAACTCCATTCATAACCAACACAACTCCATTCATAACCAACACAACTCCATTCATAACCATCACAACTCCATTCATAACCAACACAACTCCATTCATAACCAACACAACTCCATTTATAACCAACACAACTCCATTCATAACCAACACAACTCCATTAATAACCAACACAACTCCATTCATAACCAACACAACTCCATTCATAACCAACACAACTCCATTTATAACCAACACAACTCCATTCATAACCAACACATCTGCATTCATAACCAACACAACTCCATTCATAACCAACACAACTGTATTCATAACCATCACAACTGCATTCATAACCAACACAACTCCATTCATAACGAACACAACTCCATTCATAACCAACACAAGTCCATTTATAACCAACACAACTCCATTCATAACCAACACAACTGCATTCATAACCAACACAACTCCATTCATAACCAACACAACTCCATTCATAACCAACACAACTCCATTCATAACCAACACAACTCCATTCATAACCAACACAACTCCATTCATAACCAACACAACTCCATTAATAACCAACACAACTCCATTAATAACCAACACATCTTCATTCATAACCAACACAACTTCATTCATAACCAACACAACTACATTTATAACCAACACAACTGCATTCATAACCAACACAACTCCATTCATAACCAACACAACTCCATTCATAACCATCACAACTCCATTCATAACCAACACAACTCCATTCATAACCAACACAACTCCATTCATAACCAACACAACTCCATTAATAACCAACACAACTCCATTAATAACCAACACAACTGCATTCATAACCAACACAACTGCATTCATAACCAACACAACTCCATTCATAACCAACACAACTCCATTCATAACCAACACAACTGCATTCATAACCAACACAACTCCATTCATAACAAACACAACTCCATTCATAACCAACACAACTCCATTCATAACCATCACAACTGCATTCATAACCAACACAACTGCATTCATAACCAACACAACTGCATTCATAACCAACACAACTGCATTCATAACCAACACAACTGCATTCATAACCAACACAACTGCATTCATAACCAACACAACTGCATTCATAACCAACACAACTCCATTCATAACCAACACAACTGCATTCATAACCAACACAACTCCATTCATAACCAACACAACAAATAGTTTACTCCCAACAAAAATGAAGCACTTTTTTTTTTTGATTCTGCATGTTTCCTGTGTTATTTTAGTGTCGTTGAGATACTTTCATAGCTTTTGTTCAAATATTAAATTTGATTTGATTTTTATTAGGGCTGTCAAATGATTAATCACGATTAATCACATCCAAAATAAAAAAATTTTGTACAAAATATATGTGGGTGCACTGTGTATAATTATTTTATATATATAAATACACACACATGCTTGTATATATTTAAGAAATATTTTCATGTATATACTGTATATAGATTTATATTTAATTTATATTATATATAAATATAAATATTTTATATATAAGTAATATTTTTTTTTCTTAAATATACATGCATGTGTGTGTATTTATATATATATATAAAATAATTATACACAGTGCACCCACATATATTATGTAAAAAAAACTTTTATTTTGGATGTGATTAATCGTGATTAATCATTTGACAGCCCTAATTTTTATATTTTCTGTTGTCATTTTAATTTGAAAGTTTAAGTGACGTTGTTGTGTTTTTGTTATTTTTATTAGTTTTTTTTTTTCTTTACACTAAGGCTTCATTTGTTAACATTAGTGAACTACATTGGTTAACATTAACTACTTCTACAGCACTTATTAATCTTAGTTAAGGTCCGTTTCGACATTTACTAATACATTCTTTATTAAAAGCTGAATCTGTTAACATTAATTAACAAAGATTATTTAATGTTTTAAAAAGTAAATTGCTTCTTGTTAGTTCATGTTAACAAATGCATTAACCAATGGTAATAGTGATGTAAAGGGCGATCACACTGACAACAGACTCGAACATGCGGAGTGTCTGAGAAGTGACCGCTGTAATCCATCGGTCGGTGTGAACTGGCCTGAAGTGGCTCTGGATGCTGAGTGTGTGTGTGTGTGTGTGTGTGTGTTCAGAGCTGGGGTGTGGAGGGGTACCACCTGTGGGTGATCAGCAGCTCAGACTCTACTCCTGTGGAAGGAGACGAGAAGCTCCAACAGGCCGGCATCCTGCAGTTCCAGTTCATCAAGAGCGCGCTGACCGTCAACCCGTGCACGGTGAGACACACACACACACACATCACAGTCACTGGTGTAATGCCTCACTGTTACACTGCTCATGAACACCTCCTGCACGTGTGATCAGAGTCTGATGTGTTTCAGCTCCTCTAGGACTCTTAACCCTCTAGGCGCCACGGCCGAGTTTACTCGACAAGACGCGACACTGAATAAAACGGGCGATTTTGTCAAATTGGGTGTCAAATTTCGTTCGACCTCCCCTCCACTGGATGGCAGACATGTCATACTTCATCCCCGAATCAAAAAAACGTCATGCTTCTATACAAAATGTTCGAGTTAGAGCGCATTGAATCAGTGCGATCAAAAGCGGAGCTAGTGTGAGAGTAAGCCATTTTATCAGATCCTCTCCGCAATCGCGGCGACGGTATTGTGGTGGAGACTCTGTCTAATACCACTGGGTATGTTAGACGAGGTCGAAGTATTCATAGGACAGTTACGAGGCAACGTGGAGGCAGGGTGAGGAGTCGCAATGACAATGACAGTAGTCCGAGCTGTGCACACTCGATCTGGCCGCGCTGCTCGTATCATCTCACTCGTGATCTGTGCGAGTGAGTGTTTGAACTAAACAGGTCTTGTCTACTTGAGTTTGTATGTCAAATGAATAATATATATGTGCCCCATACATGGAATCAGAGTGCCTACTGTATTTAGTAAATGGAAAATCTCTACAGCAAAAGGCCAACCACTACATGCATTCGGTTTGTTTCTACCATTTATTAGTAATGATTTACACAGTTTGTTTACTAGTTTGAGCATTCAGTATTGTGCAATATAGCATACAGAAGGTGATGGACATTTTGGGGGGAAAGAAGTGCTGCATTTTATCATTTAAACATGTGACTTTTCATGAAAATTCTATAATCCAAGATTGCCACCACCATATGACGTCAAAATATGCAAATTAGATGGGAAAATGTCATCCCTACATAAACTTTGGGTCATCCTTAATATTTCTCTAATTTACAGAAAGTCTCTATCTTTTATCACTTTTAAGATATAGCCTTTCGAAATTAAGATGTAAAAATCGAACGTTTTAGGAAAAAACCTCTGGCGCCTAAAGGGTTAAGTTGAGAAAAAGATTTTTAATGTTTCCAGATGTAGTTTTAGATTACTTGGTAACACTTTACAATAAGGTTCATTAGTTGACATTTTTTAATGTATTATCTAACATGAACTAACAATGAGCAATACATATTTTTTAATTTTTGTTAATGTTAGTTAATAAAAATACAGCTGTTCATGTTAGTTCACAGTGCAGTAACTAATGTTAACAAATACAACCTTTGATTATAATAATCTATTAGTAAATGTTGAAATTAATATTAACTGAGATTAATAAGTGCTGTAGAAGTATTGTTCATTCTTAGTTCATGTTAACTACGGTAGTTAACTAATGTTAACTAATGAACCGTATTAAGTGTTACCTTATTTATTGAAGATAAACTTTGTAAAAAAGGGTCTTAACATTAGTTAATGCATTGGCTAACATGAACTAATAATGAGGGTGTCTGTTTGCGTGTGTTTGCGTGCTTGTTTGTTTGCATGCGTGTGCGTGTGTTTGTGTGTTTGTGTGTGTGCGTGTGTGTGTGTGTGTGTGTGTGTGTGTGCGTGCTTGTTTGCGTGCGCGTGTGTGTGTGTGTTTGTGTGTGTGTTTGTGTGTGTGTGTGTGTGTGTGTGCTTGTTTGTGTGTGTGTGTGTGTGTGTGTGTGTGTGTGTGTGTGTGTGTGTGCTTGTTTGCGTGTGTGTGTGTGTGTGCTTGTTTGCGCGTGTGTGTGTGTGTGTGTGTGTGTGTGTGTGTGTGTGTGTGTGTGTGTGTGTGTGTGTGTGTGTGTGTGTGTGTGTGTGTGTGTGTGTGTGTGTGTGTGATCAGAGTAACCAGGAGCAGGTGCTGCTGCAGGGAGAGGACCGCCTGTATCTGACCTGTGGAGACCCGACTCAGGCTCACAGCGGGTCGGACAAGAGCTCGTCTCGGGACACTGGGACTCCTCTGCACCGGCCCTCGGCCTCCACGCCGCTCTCTCAGGGGCTCAGCACTTTACTGGGACACAAGCACTGGCAGGTGGTTCAGGTACGTCACCACACACTCCCAGCTCGATCACACACTCCAGATCCTTCATCTCAGACTCTGAAATGTGCTTCTGTTCCTCCTGCAGATCCACAGCACATATCTGGAGACGAACTGGCCCATCAGGGTAAGAGCCTCACACTGCGCTCATGTTATAAACACCTAATACTGGTTTATACTAGAAGACTATTTTAAACTGTTTAAACCTTGTATGATCTATAATATGTGCACCACAATACATGTATTACCTCATGCAACATGCAATATGACTTTAATGGTTATATATTCAAAGTGCAATATATACATCTCAATATAAACTAGCATTCAGCAGTTTGGGGTCAGTAAAATCAATACTTTAATTCTACAAGAATGCAGTAAAACGACAATAAATACATTTATAATATTACAAAAGATTATATTTCAAATAAATGCTGTTCTTTTAAACATTATATTCATCAAAGAATCCTGTTAAAAAAATATATTGTAATTTCCACAAAAATATTCATTGTTTTAAAAATTGATTATAATCGTACATTTTTCTTGATCATCAGATCCTCATATTAGAGTGATTTGTGAAGGATCATGTGACACTGAAGACTGGAGTAATGATGCTGAAAATACAGCTTTGATCACAGGAATAAATTACACTTTACTGTATATTCACATAGAAAACAGATGTTTAACATTGCAATATTATTTCACAATTTTGCTGTTTTTACTGTATTTTTGATCAAATAAATGCAGCCTTGGTGAGCAGAAAATCTTACCAACCCCTTTTTGAACTTTTTTGACTGTAGTGTACATTTGATTAATCAAGGCGATATATTTATGTGTATGTCTTGGTCTATATACTTGTAATTCTTCATTTTGAATGTTTAAGTGTCCCTTGTTAACTGAAAGCTGAGTTTCACTTTTCTTTCTTTTTCATAACCGCACAAGTTTGTAATATTAAGATTCTCCTCGTAGATGTTTGCCTCGGTTCATGGCGTATAACTCTTCAACAAAAACTTTTTATAATCCCTTTGGGGTAAAAACTAATAAAATCCAGAACCAGCGCTGCTAAAAAAGTGGGCGGGCACTAATGCTCTTTATAGATATAGATGTGCAAATGTGGGCGGTCATATGTTAATGAGCTTTTCACTGTTACATTTGGTTCCAAAAATGCAGTTTTTCATGAAACGCATGGTTTAATCTTGCTGTGTGTGTGTGTGTGTGTGTGTTTAGTTTGCAGCGATAGACTGGTCTGGTCAGTGTGTGGCCGTCGCCGGTCGCCGAGGATTTGCACATTATTCCTTATATTCCAGGAAATGGAAACTGTTTGGTAACGTCACACAGGTAAACGCCCCTCCATCAGTGTGTTTTCATTTAAAAGGTAAAAGCCTGTGATGAAAACGTTCTATAATCATGTGTTTTCAGGAGCAGAATATGGCGGTGACGGGCGGCCTCGCGTGGTGGAACGACTTTGTTGTTATTGCGTGTTATAATTTCATCGACCGGCAGGAAGAGGCAAGAACTCTTGCATTAGTGTTCCTCTGATGTCTCAGTATTGATCTGTGTGTGTGTGATGGACTGTCTTGTGTCTTCATGGCTTTAGCTGAGGCTGTACGTGCGCTCCGCTAACCTGGATAACGCGTTTGCTAGCGTCACCAAACTTCACGCCGACACGCTGTTGCTGAACGTGTTTCGTAACGTGGTGATTCTGTTCCGGGCCGACTGCTCTATCTGCCTGTACAGCATCGAGAGACGGCACGACAGGTGACACACACACACACACACACACTGACCAAGATCATCTGGAATTAATGGACTAGTTTATTTGGAAATAATCCCTTAAAAAGCCAGCAATTGTTATTAAACCCTGTCATCATGAAATTCACTGATGCTACATTTAACACAAAAAAACACAGATAAAGAAAAGACACATTTAGAAATGCTATATACATACATTTATATATTGTATATAAATGTTATATATATATATATATATATATGTATACTGTATGTGTGTGTTTATATAATTTATATTTATTTATTTATGTATAGTTTAATGTTGTTTTTTGTTTTTCTAAATGCATTTATATTTTTATATAAAACATATATTAAAAGTTAGCTTTTTCTTAAGTCTCTTTTCTTTTCGGAGGATCAATCCTGTATTTCCAAACCTTGATTTTTGTCATCACAATAATGGAAAATGTCAAGCAATAGAAAGGGTGGATAATTATATTTAATTTCAAGCACTTTGGCGCTCCATAGATATGACCCAGAATGCCATTTTCTTTAGACTAATTTATGTTTCTTGTACACAAGTGTTTTGTAAGTTGGCTGGATGTTTGTTGTATTTGTCTTGAACATGTCTTGATGTTTCGGCGTGTGTGTGTGTCATCAGCCCGAGCCCGTCGGCCAGTGTGGAGCTGTTGCAGGAGGTCTCGATGTCTCGTTATATTCCTCACCCTGGTTTAGTCGTGTCTGTGACCCTCACATCAGTGCGGACTGAGACCGGGATCACACTCAAAGCCCCGCAGCAGGTACACATGCTCACACTCATGCTCACACTCATGCTCACACTCATGCACACTCTCACACACACACGCACACTCTCGCGCACTCATGCACACTCACACACTCATGCACACTCTCGCACACTCATGCTCACACTCACGCACACTCATGCACACTCACACACTCACGCACACACTCACGCTCACACTTACGCACACACTCCTGCATGCGTACTCATGGCCCGTGTGTGTGTGTCAGGCCTGTTCGGCTGAGAGTATCCTGTTGAATTTGGCTGGTCAGCTGATCATGCTGCAGAGAGACCGATCCGGGCCACAGGTGCGAGAGAAGGACACGCCAGCCAATCAGACGATGCTGGTGAGTCTGATGCCCCGCCCCTCATCCTGATCCAATAGAGCACAAGAGTTCGGTTCTGTGTGGAAAGATCTCATTCCTTTTCTTGATAAGGAAATAATTAATAATAAGGTATCTGTTTAGGACAGACGTACCGTGAGGTTGTTAATCAATGATATATGCTTTTGTTATTTCAGCTTTTTATTTAATTTTTTATAATCATGTTTAACGGCAGTATTCCTGGTGAAAAAACTACATTACCCATGATTCTGCTGAGAAATCTCCACCAATCAGAGAATCATGACAAGCAAATTACGCCAAAAAACCCGCCAACTCTCATGATGCACTTCAAATATATGTAAACATATATACTTGATTATGCAAATTACATAACCAAGTCAATCTCCCTATGCTCTCAAAGACAATCATTTTTTGTGGCTTTAACAGAGACTTAAAAATCGCCTACAAAGTGGGCGGCGCTGTTGCGCTCCCTAAATGTCAATCTGTGATCGTGATCCATTCTCTCTGTCTGTTAACTAACGCGTGTCTCCCTCCGTCAGCCGTTCTGTGCGCCGGTGGTTCTGGCCCAGTGTGTGGAGAACGTGTGGACCACCTGCCGAAGCAACCGCAAGAAACGCCACCTGATGGAGGCGCTGTGGCTCTCGTGCGGAGAGGCGGGGATGAAGGTGTGGCTCCCTCTGTTTCCCAGAGACCACCGCAAACCCCACTCGTTCCTGTCGCGCCGCATCATGCTACCCTTCCACATCAACATCTACCCGCTAACCGTGCTCTTCGAGGACGCGCTAATCCTCGGCGCCTCCAACGAGACCATGCTATTCGACGGCCTGAGCTCGTCCTCCGAGCCACTGGAGACGCTCTTCCCGTTTTGCACGGTGGAACGAACATCTCAGATCTATCTCCATCACATCTTACGCCAGCTGCTAATGCGTAACCTGGGCGAGCAGGCGCTCATGCTAGCGCAGTCGTGCGCGGCGCTGCCGTACTTCCCGCACGTGCTGGAGCTCATGGTGCACGTGGTTCTGGAGGAGGAGGCCACGTCTCGAGAGCCCATCCCCGACCCGCTGCTGCCCACCGTGGCCAAGTTCGTCACCGAGTTCCCACTGTTCCTGCAGACCATCGTTCACTGCGCGCGCAAGACCGAGTACGCGCTGTGGAACTACCTGTTCGCCGCCGTCGGGAACCCCAAAGACCTGTTCGAGGAGTGTCTGATGGCGCAGGATCTGGACACGGCCGCGTCGTACCTGATCATCCTGCAGGTGAGGCCTAAACACACAATTGAAGAACAAAACACTTGATGTATACTTTGAAAATACTGGAAAAATACACTTCATTATCTGTAGTTGCTCACCATTTATGTTTATCTATTTGACATCTTCAGTAGTTAAATCCACTTTAAATGGTCTGTGATTAAATCAATAAATAAAGTAAAATATTTTCATGTAAAGATGCATTAAAGGAAGTATTTTGTAAGATGGACCCAGGAAAACTTTTTAATAGTTATAATAGTGATAAAATTTATCATCACAAGTACACTACCAGTCAAAAGTTTTGGATTGGTAAGATTTGTTTGTTTTTTTAAAAGAAGTCTCTTCTGCACACCAAGGCTTAATTAAAAAATACAACAACAATAAACAGAAATATTGTGAAATATTATTATAATGATCAATTACCTGATCATCCTCTAGGTGAGTCCCAAACAAGAAATAAACACCCAATTTAAGAACAAAACACTTGATGTATACTTTGAAAATACTGAAAAAGTAAATAAAATACTCTTGAAATAAGTCACCATTATCTGTAGTTGCATCTTCAGTAGTTTAACCCACTTTAAATGGTCTGTGATGTAATAAATAAATACATTCAATTAAACGGTTTAATGTAAAGAAACATTAAAGGAAGTATTTTTTAAGATGGACCCTGGACATTTTTATAGTTTTTATCACATGTACACTTCCAGTCAACAGTTTTGGATTGGTAAGATTTTTAATGTTTTTAAAAGAAGTCTCTTCTGCTCACCAAGGCTGTGTTTATTTGATTAAAAATACAAAAAACAGTAATACTGTGAAATATTATTACAGTGTAAATAATCAGTTTTCTATGTGAATATACTGTAAAGTGTAATTTATTCCTGTGATCAAAGCTGAATGTTCAGCATCATTACTCCAGTCTTCAGTGTCACATGATCATATGCACAAGAAACATTTCTCATTATTAGCAATGTTGAAAACAGTTATTTAAGTACATTAGATTTATTGATGAATAAGATGTTCAAAAGAACAGCATTTATCTGAAATAGAAAGCTTGAATAAAGAAAATTAATTTCACTAAATATACGATTGTTCATGTGACCTCTCACTCAGGTTTGTGTTGATAATCATGTATATAATATATCATATTTGATCATTTACACTGATTGTATGACCTAATGGAACTGTCCTAAACAGCTTTTTCGTAATAGAGGGGGCATCTAATTGAATAATCCTATTTTATTCATGTTATTTTATGATATTTGTATGCAGAATATGGAGGTTCCAGCGGTGAGCCGTCAACACGCCACTCTGCTCTTCAACACGGCCCTCGAACAGGGCAAGTGGGATCTGTGTCGTCACATGATCCGCTTCCTGAAGGCCATTGGTTCAGGGGAGAACGAGACTCCGCCCAGCACACCCACCACACAGGTGAGCAGACCACAGATGGTGTGTGTGTGTGTGTGTGTGTGTGTGTGTGCATGGTGTTGAGTAGGGGTGTCACGATTCTCCAAATCCTCGATTCGATTAAATGTTCGATTCTAAGGTCACGGTTCGATTCGATTCTCGATTTTTACATTTATTTTTTTTAATAATAATAATAATAATTCATTTTTAGACTAGACTTTTATGCAATATAATATCTGACCTTTGTTCAAATGACCACACTACATTGTCAAATTTAAAACATTTATTAACAATATAATGTAACAATAACTTATATCTTCAGTCAATTGGGAACTTAAGCAAAATAACCTGCCGTCTAGTTTCTCTTTTGTAAGGGCAGTCTTTACAGGAGATGACATTCAAGTTCACAACAAAACAAACAGTTGTTGTTTAACAGATAAATCTGTGTTTTTGTGGTGCCTGCGGAGATGCCCTGCCGTGGAAGAATATGGTACACGCACATAGCAGAGTTAGCAAACTGTGGCTTTTTTGAAGCGTGAACGTTGTCAACATAACTCACTGGAAATCCCAAATACTTCCACACCGGCGACTTCAATGAAAGAGGAGGGGGTTCAAGCTCTGTCGATGGGTCTCCTGCGTCTGCTATCTTTTGACTGGCTGGAGCTAAGTTAGAGGAGGTTGACTCGCAGCACTTCAACACGTGTGTTTGTTTCCGTTTGGCACGCCGGCCGGACGTCACATGAGGGCGTGGCAGCAGCGACCACTCCATTTTTTAATTCGAAGCTCGAGATTGTGACTTAATTTCGGTCGATTTCGATTTAAAATTGAAATCGTGACACCCTTACTGTTGAGATGCTCGTGTTGAAGCTCATGTGCTGATTGGAGATGTGTGTGTGTGTGTGTGTGTGTGTGTGTGTGTGCAGGAGCAGAGCTCTACGGGAGGCTTTGAGTTCTTCCGTAACCGCAGCATCAGTATGTCTCAGTCTGCCGACGGCATCGCAGGAGGGAAGTTCAACCTGCAGAAAACCCTGAGCATGCCCTCTGGCCCGTCCTGCAAAGGGTAACACACACACACACACACACACACACACACACACACACTACACACATGCAGATACAGGGCTCGACATAACGCTTGTCCGGGACAAGAAGGGGAAAGTACCACACACGCAGGACATCAGTTCTGACTGGATCGCTTCCCAAATCGTCACCATCGTACATTTTTGTCTAGTTTTTATTCGTTGACGAAAATGTCAATAGATTCATTCGTCGTAGCCGTCTGATAGATGTACCGCTGAACCAGTCTCCGGGTGAGTAGCCGGCCAGTGATCGTAACTATAGTAACAGCATGAGAATACACGCTTAGTTGTTGTCAGCGCTTGGTCGGTTAATTTTGGCATTTTCTAAGTTAGCCTAATAGACCAATTTCGAGCCGACGTCACAGTTACGTCGCGGCGCTAGCTGGAGGCAAACCAAAGGGAAAACTGGAAAATCCGGCCAATACAAACCAGCACAGATTCGGCTACATAATAAGGAGCTTAAATTATTATTATTATTATTATTAAATGTCATCTTGTTGTGTTGTTGGGTGCAAGAATCGATGAAAAATGAATATGCTGTATCTGGAATTTGTATTTCTAGAAAATATTCACATCATTAACATCGCACCGTGATGTCACTCTTTACATGGTCGTCTTCTCGGCGCTGGCGCGGCAGAACTGCGGATCACACACACAAGTCTTTACATGAGCATTCAGCACATAGTTATAGACATCTAAAGATTTACATGCCCTCCGTTTCTCTTTACGCTCGGTTTCTCTATCAGGTAACGTTAGGTGTAGAAGTCAGGCCACTCAACCGGAGGTAGCGTTAGCGTTAATCCTGTCAGATCGTCCATCATTGACAGCTTGTACAGTACGGGTCGGCCAATCTGGTTCCGTCCGTTAAAATTAACTTCTGCAAATAACAATCACGGTCCTGGACACTGAGTGACCTTACACATTAAGATAAAATCAGATTTTCTCCAGTCATTGTAAAAAAACAAGCTAACAAAACTTGCAAACTAGCGTTAGAGAAGCAGCCAGGGGGATCGTTCTGCCTCCACCTAAGCTCCGCCCACAGAAACGTCACCATGTTTACCAACTGAAAATTGGTCTATAGGCTAGTAATAAATGAACACGCATACAAAAATGTCTTTCGTCCTGTAAGCGTCCTGGAGAATATTTCTGTTAGTCCTAAACACATTTTCTATCGTCCCCAGGACGTTAGTTTCCAGCCCTGGGAGAGCGCTTATATGATGTGTGTGTGTGTGTGTGTGTCCTCAGGGGCGAGCGCTGGTGTAAGGACACGGACTCCGCGGAGAACCTCTACATTGACCTGATGCTGTGGAGACACGCGCGGCTGCTGCTGGAGCAGGTCCGGCTGCGGGACCTCGGCTGCTTCTCCGCTCAGCTGGGCTTCGAGCTGATTGGCTGGCTGTGTCGGGAGCGCACGCGAGTGGCTCGCGTCGAGGATTTCGTCACCGCGCTCAAATGCCTGCACAAGGACTTCCTGTGGCCGTTTCCTGTCATCCCAGCATGCTCTGTTAGCTCGCCGCTGAAGAACGGACGCTGCCGCTCAGGTGTGTGAATGAGTTTCCCTCCAGTTATGGCATAACAATGTGTATCACAAGGCCGCTTTTAAACTGCAAATGTTAATATGTATATTAAAAATTATCTTTATTTTAATATATAATTGGGTCTCATTCATGAAACAGTGATTTGCGCGTAAAGAGACCTTCCCGAAAACTCATCTCCTGATTCCCAAATACTTCGTAAACGTCAGATGTGATAGTGAAATGTGTGTGTGTGTGTTAATGAATTCCAATCAGTCGTAAATGGGACGCGCGTGCACGCTCATTCTCAATTACCATAAATCCCGCCCATTTAATCCGACTGACAACTATATATGGGCATCATATTATGACACCAAACGAAGGATTTCAACATGTCTTCTCAAAAGCGAATGAAAAAGAAAAATTTCTCAGATGCAGAAATCAAAGTTTTATTATCAGAAGTTCATTCAAAACACCACATTTTATTTTCAAGCGTACATAGTGGCGTATCAGGTCCTAAAGAAAGAAGCTTGGCATCATTACAGATGCAGTTACTGGAGTTTCATCTGTTAATCAAACAGTCCCAGAAGTAAAAAGAAAAACTGGATGTAATTACTATATATATTAGGGCTGGGTAAAAAAATATCGATTTCTCCATGTTAATCGATTCTCATTTTTACGAACCGATATCGATTCTTAAATCTCAAGAATCGATTAGTCATCCTGTTTTAATTTGATGAATGAATGGAACATTGTAGAGCGCATCCAATCCAATAAATCGCAATAATCTCTGTGCTTTGTTACTATTGATACTAAATAAAGTCTCAAATTTCAAATTACGTCCATTTTCTGACGTTTACGAAGTATTTGTGAATCAGGAGAAGAGTTTTCGGGAAGGTCTCTTTACACGCAAATCACTCTCATATTTACTCGTATATTTACGAATGTTTCATGTATGAGACCCAATGTGTGTACGTATATATGAAATGTTTTTCTCTAAATGTTGTATATATACCCTTCTGCGACCTTATGGACATTTTTGTCTTTCAGTTTTTTTATCATGTTGATTGTGTTAATGCTAACTGCATACATTTTGGCACAAGTGTGTATTTTTATTGGAATTGAAGTATTTCACCCCCATTTACTTTAATAAATCTATTTTGCACTAGTAACAAAAAATCGTTCCTCTGCTATGATTAATCCCAGGGCCGTTTAACTATAAAATGATGCAATCTTTGTCTTTCATTCTGTTGACAAGGCTTCAAAATTACAAATGTTTTTGTTTAGATTTATGGCTTTAATTTTCTAGCAGTTTTAGAGTTCAACATGTTTCATGAAATATATATATTCTTTATAAAATATTGTTCATAAATAATTTTCTTAAACTTCTATAACTTTTGTGTCACTTTTACACTTCAACAATAATCCACCAAGTGTCTTCTTTAAAATGAGACCAAGCTTTACATTTTTATGACAGTTTTTTTGACAACGATATTTTTGTCCTCTATGTGTAATTTTTTTTTAATTGGCTTAAGATTCTATATAAATGAACTCTATGACTGAAATCACATGAACTCTCTCTCTCTCCGTAGTGTTGAGTTCTCGTTTGCTGAAGTCTCAGTCTGCGGACAGTTTGCTGAACAGTGACATGGACACCACGCCCCCTCAGGTCACGCCAGCCAATCACAGCTGGCTTGACGGTTTGGGGGCGGTGCCTAAGGAACTAGACTCCGCCTCCTCTCACGGAGGACCGCAGACCCAGGAGGCTTTTCTCTCTCCTCTTATTAACAAAGGTAAGAGAATCAAATCTCTCTCGTTCTCTCTCTCTCTCTCTCTCTCTCTCTCTCTCTCTCTCTCTCTCTCTCTTTCTCTCATTCTTTCGCTCTCTCTTATGTTTCTTTTGATTCACCTGTTCAGGAGAGGAGTACAGCATCGGTTCAGCCACGGACCTCACTGAGACCAGTTCAGTGGTGGATGGTGATTGGACGATGGTGGATGAGAATTTCTCCACCCTCAGTCTCAGCCAATCAGAGCTGGAGCACATCTCTATGGAGCTGGCCAATAAAGGGCCTAACAAGAGCCAAGTGCAGCTCCGGTGAGTGTTCATGAGATCATCACCCGATAACCAATCTAATCACTGACCGTGTTTGGGGCTTTAATGCTTGAATTTGACTTTTTGAAATGTAAGTCCTGGAAAACCCTTGAAAACAGACATATTTGTGAAAAGGTACTTGAAAAGTGCTTGATTTTGTTAAAATTTATTGATAAAACAATCTTTTCACACAAAATGAACGCTGTAGCCGTCTGATATTCTGCATGACTAGTGTGATATTGCTCATAAATATCCAAGTATATGATACAGCTTTCATTTTTGAGGTCAATCAAAAATCAGTTTGAAAAAAATGATTTTTGATAAAACTGATATCTTTATCATAGTATCCTTTCAATGGTTAACCCTTTAGGCGCCAGAGGTTTTTTTCCTAAAACGTTCGATTTTGACATCTTAATTTCAAAAGGCTATATCTTAAAAGTGATAAAAGATAGAGACTTTCTGTAAATTAGAGAAATATTAAGGATGACCCAAAGTTTATGTAGGGATTACATTTTCCCATCTAATTTGCATATTATGACGTCATATGGTGGCGGCAATCTTGGATTATAGAATTTTCATGAAAAGTCACATGTTTAAATGATAAAATGCAGCACTTCTTTCCCCCCAAAATGTCCATCACCTTCTGTATGTTATATTGCACAATACTGAATGCTCAGGTATATAGTAACTAGTAAACAAACTGTGTAAATCATTACTAATAAATGGTAGAAACAAACCGATTTTCCATTTACTACATACAGTAGGCACTCTGATTCCATGTATGGGGCACATATATATTATTCATATGACACACAAACTCAAGTAGACAAGACCTGTTTAGTTCAAACGCTCACTCGCACAGATCACGAGTGAGATGACACGAGCAGCGCGGCCAGATCGAGTGTGCACAGCTCGGACTGCTGTCAGTGTCATTGCGGAGAGGATCTGATAACATGGCTCACTCGCACACTAGCTCCGCTTTTGATCGCACTGATTCAATGCGCTCTAACTCGAACATTTTGTATAGAAGCATGACGTTTTTTTGATTTGGGGATGAAGTATGACATGCCTGCCATCCAGTAGAGGGGAGGTCGAACGAAATTTGACACCCAATTTGACAAAATCGGCCGTTTTATTCAGTGTCGCGTCTTGTCAAGTAAACTCGGCCGTGGCGCCTAGAGGGTTAAAGTTCCACAGTCATTTCATCCGCTGCTACCCTGGGAAAACGCAGACAACTTCCGGCAAATGTAGATTTGCTCTGAAAGTTAGTCTGGCAAAGAGCTCATTCAAGCCCATTTGCAATCCGTCGAAATCGCGGCACCAATCAGAAGCGTTGGGGCGGGCTTTACACGATGACGACAGCGCTGGGATTTTGAAGCAGATTTTGTAGCCTACATTACAAAGATGGATGCCGCCGTCGAACATCACTCGTTCGAATCAGCTATCGCGTCTGTTTTAAGCCATTTAAACGTTTCCTTTTTGTTAAAAACCGAGCAAAGAACAACACTCGGCGCTCTGCATACGTCATCTCCTTCATCGCTCTGATTGGGTTTAGGTCTATCCGCGACGTCCGTTGGTGACGCCCCTCTGGAAATGATTTGTCTATGATGCTTTGCCAGACCATAACTCAGTTACAACTGAGAAAGGTCTGGTTTTAACCAGACTAATCCGCTGCGCTTTATTTGTACCATTTTTTGGTTTTGGTCTTTTTTTTTTGTTGATCTATTTACCTTTTATAGAATTTGAAAGATAATAAAGATATTGTTTGATAAGTGAGATCTCTGATTGTAGTGCTTGAAAACCAAAAAAGTAGAGCTTGAAAAGTCCTTGGATTTCCTCTCTTAGTGTCTGTACGAACCCTGGTTCTCATGTGTGTGTGTGTGTGTGTGTCAGGTATCTCCTGCACGTGTTCATGGAGGCGGGCTGTCTGGAGTGGTGTGTGATCATCGGGCTGATCTTGCGGGACGCCAGCGTGATCAAGCAGGTGGTGGGCTTCTTGGACAGTGCCGAGGTGCCGGCTGAGACGGTGCAGAGCATCAGAGCCGGGCTGAGGGCCGTCGACCTCTGGGTCTCCTCTGATTGGTCAGTGTTATACAGCCGAGATCAGGCGCTTTGAGTGAGAAAATCAAATGATGAAGAAAAGTTTGAAAAGTTTGAAAAGTTTGAAACTTTTCACTACCGTTGAAAAGTTTAGGGTCGGCAAGATTTATTTGTTATTGAACAGTCTCTTATTTATTTGACCAAAAATACATAAATTATTACAATTAAAAATTTCTGTTTTCTATGGAAGCTTGTCACGCTTTATAAATGAAGGTGACTTGACCCATAACCCATATGTATAATGTTTAAGAAGCTTCACTCATTGATTAATGTTGCGATGGACGTGTTTATTTCATGTTATACTTCCTCTCTGATGTCACTTCCTGTCAGCTTGGGCTACAAGCCGTTCCTGCACCTGATTGGCCCGCAGCTGCTGAAGCTCTCAGAGGTTCCCGAGGAGCCGGTTCAGCCGGAGCCGTTCCAGCCGAGCGGGGCCTCGGAGCCCGAGCCCAGAGCCGAGGACGCCCGCGGGGTCGTGACCTCTGCCCACCCGCTGCGACCCCGCGGGGTCGTGACCTCTGCCCACCCGCTGCCCCTGGACGGCCCCTGTGGAGCCGGCGCTCGACCCCTGGAGGACACGCCCGAGGAGCCCGAGCAGCAGGAGGCCCTGGAGGAGGGGGCGTACGACTGCACACTCTCATGAGTGTGAGTGTGTGTGTGTGTGTGTGTGTGTGTGAGGCCCTGGAGGAGGGGGCGTACGACTGCACACTCTCATGAGTGTGTGTGTGTGTGTGTGTGTGTGTGTGAGGCCCTGGAGGAGGGGGCGTACGACTGCACACTCTCATGAGTGTGAGTGTGTGTGTGTGTGTGTGTGTGAGGCCCTGGAGGAGGGGGCGTACGACTGCACACTCTCATGAGTGTGAGTGTGTGTGTGTGTGTGTGTGTGAGGCCCTGGAGGAGGGGGCGTACGACTGCACACTCTCATGAGTGTGTGTGTGTGTGTGTGTGTGTGAGCCGCTGGATGAGGGCTCGTACGACTGCACACTCATGACCGGTTGCACGTATGTGTGTGTGTGTGTGTGTGTGTGTGTGTGTGTGTGTGTGTGTGTGTGTGTTGTCAAAAATAGTGACTTCGGTATCAAGTCGGTACTGAAATTTTAAAATTGTGAGACTGAGCGCTGTTCGCTGAATCATAAACACCTCTGATTGGCCGTTGTGTTCACGCACTCATCAGATACGTCTGTGATTGGCTACAAGGATCAGCACACGTAAGCGTGTGAAAACACGCGCAGGACCGATCCGCTGATAGACGCCTGCTTTCAAACGCTCGCGTGTGTGTGTAAGCGCTCGCTGAAGAGCCTCATTGATGTATATTCACAACGGTTTCGAAAGTGCTGATCCTTGTAGCCAATCACAGACGTGTCTGATGAGCTCATGAACACAACAGCCAATCAGAGGTGTTTATGAATCCACTCAACAGCGCTCAGTCTCACAATTAAAAAAATTTAGTACTGACTTGATACCGAAGTCGGTACTTTTGACAACACTAGTGTGTGTGTGTGTTTGTGTGTGTGTGAGCCGCTGGACGAGGGCTCGTACGACTGCACACTCTCATGACCCGTCTGTGCTGCTCCGTGACCAGTTACGTGTGTGTGTGTGTGTGTGTGTGTCTTTTTATTTGATTCCGGCTCCTCCAGACTGCAGTGTCGTGTGTGTTTTGCAGTGTGTGTGTGTTCTCCATCCTGTGGTCAAATGCATCATCATGTTTTTTTCTCTCTTCACTTAAACACTGCAAAAAAAGTCTTATTTTGTTTTTGTATTTTCCAGCATTTTCTTAAATCAAGATCATTTACTGGAGAAGCAGCAGAAACACTGAAGAGGAGTCTGAAACTCAAACTCAAAATAAGACAAAATTAGACATTAATTTTTTTTGCAGTGTCGTTACAACATCAGCTCTCGCAACCAGCTTTACACCGAATCATGACTTCATAACACTCACACACACACACACCAGTGCACACACACACACACTCACTGTCACTCGAACAGACACACACCTACACACACACACACACACTCACTATCACCCGAACAGACACACACCTATTCACACACACACACACCTACACAAACACACACCAGTGCACACACACACTCACTATCACTCGAACAGACACACACATACACACACACACACTCACTGTCACTCGAACAGACACACACCTACACACACACACACCAGTGCACACACACTCGCACACACACACTCACTATCACCCGAACAGACACACACCTATTCACACACACACACACCTACACAAACACACACCAGTGCACACACACACTCACTATCACTCGAACAGACACACACACACACACACACTCACTATCACTCGAACAGACACACACACACACACACACACACACACACACACACTCACTATCACTCGAACAGACACACACCTACACACACACACTCACTATCACTCGAACAGACACACACCTACACACACACACTCACTTACACACACACACACACCTACACACACACACTCACCTACACACACACACCTACACACACACACACACACACCTACACACACACACACCTACACACACACACCTACACACACACACACCTACACACACACACTATCACTCAAACAGACACACACACTCACCTACACACACACACACCTACACACACACACCTACACACACACATTTCTCCTTTCATGAGTCAGATGTCGTGTTTATCACAATGATTTGTTTTCTTTTGGTTTGTTTTTGCTCTGGCTTCATGTTTTAAAGTTCATCATGAAATATCTGCCCTTGTTTTATTGGATGCAGATATATATCTGAGGAAGACTGACCCTCGTTGACCTCAGATCTCCACCGCGTGTGTGTGTGTGTGTGTGTCGCAGGGTTAGCTGTTTTTAAGGCGTCCGACACTATCCTCTCCTCCTGCGCTCGTGTCCTGACGTCGTCTTCACGAAGGCGGGATCGAATCCTTATTTATTCCTCCGCTCCGCTCCACAGCCGGGACGATCACGTGTCATTAATCTGAAGCGCGCGGTTTGTCCTCGCTGTATCCCGACTGACAGCGCTGTTTCTGTTTTGCTATTTTCTTCTGAAGTGTTGCAGTTTTACGTTTATTTATTTGAGGAGCATCTGGACAAAGAGACGGACGTTTTCTTTGGTTTCAGGGAGTGATTTGTGTGTGTTTTCTAATCTCTGAAGGGCATCAGTATTAAACGAGTGTTCGTGAACATCACGCCTTCAGAACGGACCAAATCATCTACACTTATGGAATGCCTTTGTATTATGATTATTATTCTAGTTATTCTAGTTCTTATGCATCATTGACAGTCGTCGTCTGAGTATTTAGCAGCTTTAATGAGATGCATCTTTATTTTAATGTTTTATTTCCCCCCGGACGTCTCAAACGAGCCGCTTAAACCAGTCTGAGGCGGTTTAAACCGGTTCAAACCAGCTGACAAGTGCCCGAATCCCAGTCGAACCAGCGGCTGCTCCTCCGGACGCAGCTTTAGGTCCTCATGAGGAACACATGCAGTGATGATCATGATATTCACAAACCAAAGAGCTTCTGGATGTGTGTGAGATTCACTGACGTGTTCACGGTACAGATTACCCACAATCCCTCTGTCCCGCTGACGTCACTGGACTGATGTTGAGCTGGAGGGTTTTATCTGGACGTTTCTTCTCAATGAAGTGTACAGAGAGAGTTTGCTGTACAATAACTTTTCTACTCAGTTTTCTATATTTCCTGTACATAAAGAACAATAAATTATTTTTTAAACATCATGTGTGCTTTATGTTTGATCAGCTTCCCGGTGTCTTCATATGGAGTCATTCATACTTTTATTCATCAGGCACATTACATGGATCAAAAGTGGCTTTTATAATGTTACAAAAGATTATATTTCACAGTTTCCATAATCATATGAAGCTGTTTTCAACACTGATTATAGTCATAAATGTTTCTTGAGCATCAGATCCTCATATTAGAGTGATTTGTGAAGGATCATGTGACACTGAAGACTGGAGTAATGATGCTGAAAATCACAGGAATAAATTACATTTTACTGTATATTCACATAGAAAACAGATGATTTACATTATAATAATATTTCACAATTTTTACTATATTTTTGATCCGATAAATCCAGCTTTGGTGAGCAGAAGAGACTTCAGAAAACATTTAAAAGAGCCCAAACTTAAATATTAAAATAAAAAATAGCTTCATACTTAGTAAAAAAAAAAAATCTTCAAATTGTTGATTAACTGAACAAATGAAGGGAAAAATAGACAAACGACAGGAGACATAAAATGATTTTGTTATAGAAAATTGATTGGTCTTGCAAGAACAGTTTAGTGCAGTTTATGATACTATAAAATAACCATCAGAACCGGACAAATGAAAACTTTCACAGAAATCTGACAATTATTAAACAAAATTACTCGTGTGATTCGTGGACGTCAAAACAGCAAGAGTTTGAATCATAAAATGTCTTTCAGAATATGACAAACTCTTCATCTTTACAGATTTGAGTCACATTTTATCCTCAATTATTCAGAGTGGACGTTATAATGAATTATTGTGTGTATAATTGCTTTAGTTTGTCAGACATGCAAATATAACGAACACATGGTTTATTAGTCAGAGCTCCCATAAGATCAGAACAATAACAATTATATCAATAACAAAATAATTCTCATTGAACATCGACTTCATCCCAAATAAAAACACAAAAGCAGGTTATTATAATAAACGTTCACTAGCTTATCAGTTTATTTCCTTTGAAATCTGAGACAAAGAACCACTTGTTTGAGATTTTACAATCAAAAAGTGCTCGATTCATTAGACGAAAGCATTCAGATCTCAAGCTCATCAAACCCAGAGATAAAAAGAACAATGTCAAATAACTGATTAATTATAATAATCTCGGATGACACTTTACAAGAACGTTCCTTCTGTTGACTACATTCATTAATGCGTTTAATAATCTTAACTTTAATTTCAGAGTACCGCGTATTAATGCGTAAAGCTACAGTAACGTCTAGTTATATCTCTTACAGTGAATGTTTTATGAGCAATAGAATAATTATATTATTCATATTCATCCGTAGAGCCGAAGCACAACCACAACAGTGTTCTTCCGCAAAATACATGCAGTTTTACTCGTAACCACTAGAGGGCCGAGAGTTGCAGAGTACCGTTAACATTAGGAAATGCACAAGTTGTGTTAATAAATGCTGTAATAATATTGTTAGCGGATGCATCATAACTAACAGATGAGACGTTATTGTAAAGTGTGCGTGAAACTGTCAGTTTAATCTCTCGAAAGAGCTTGAAATGGTTCAGATGTGCTGAGATCAACATTCATCGGTAAATCCAGTTCAATCCAGAAGAAGCTTGGCACCATTTTTTCTGCTGCAACATGATACAAAAAAATAAAAATAAAAATATACAAACATGAACAATTGTCCAATGCTTCAAAAAACGAAGAAATAAAAAAAGCACTTGTGTGTGAAGTTTTTGCATGTTTGTTTGGATGCAGCTGATGTGTGTGAATGGATCAGTGCGCAATCTGCACACAAAACACCAAGAACGAGTAACATGTCTCGTTCACGTCACGCCTGAATGACCGTCATCATCACGAGATCACCGGCAGGAAATGACATCAGGATTTGTTGTTCCATTGGAACCAGTGAATCTCTCAGACGGAGAGACGAGAAACTACAAGACCAGCCGAAACCACTTCAGACCGGCTGAGTCACATGACCACAGAAACACTGAGAGCCAATCCCGAGACACCGCTCGAGATCATGTGACCGTCACATTTCACCTCAAAATCCACATTGCATTATTTTTATGACAGCTAAGCATCTAATTTGTGTAAAAATTTTTTATATTATTTACATTTCAAAGTATTAATAAATCATGGTAGTATTTGTTGCTTTATTGTAGTATTTTTAGTTTAAATTATTTGAATTACATAAACAAAACAAGTAAATTATGTTTTTTTTTTTTTGTTAGTTTTTTTTGTAATTCTCATTATTTCTGTCATGGCATTTATTATGAAATTATGAAAATTACATTTTAAATTATTAAACCTAAAAAAACTTCTTTTTTTTTAACTAAAAAATGTAATTAGAACTAAAAGTAAATTAAATAATTCTAAAAAAAAAAACATTTAATAAAACTACAAACAATAAAATAAAAAATGTCACATGAGAATTTGTGGAAAAAAAATTTTTCAATGATAATTAAACACATTTTATCCCAAAGTAAAAATCTTAACTGATTTAAAGAAGCTTAACTTAATTTTCATTTTAATGTAATTGCATTTTTTTTCCTTTTGACTTTGTGTTGAAATATGACCCAGAAAAATAAAATAAAACACTGTGCGTTGGTTGATGTGAATGAAGGAGCTCGTACGTGTTCACGGGTCCACAGTGAGCGGCTTAAGTGTGTGTGTGAGAGTGTGTGTGTGTGTGTGTGTGTGTGTGTGTGTGTGTGTGTGTGTGTGTGTGTGTGTGTGTGAGATCAGGGCCCTCAGTATCTGTACATGTGGTGTGTGTGTGTGTGTGTGTGTGTGTGTGTGTGTGTGTGTGTGTGTGTGTGTGTGTGTGTGAGATCAGGGCCCTCAGTATCTGTACATGTGGTGTGTGTGTGTGTGTGTGTGTGAGATCAGGGCCCTCAGTATCTGTACATGTGGTATGTGTATGTGTGTGTGTGTGCGCGTGTGTGTGTGTGTGAGTGTGAGTGTGTGTGAGATCAGGGCCCTCAGTATCTGTACATGTGGTATGTGTATGTGTGTGTGTGTGCGCGTGTGTGTGTGTGTGAGTGTGAGTGTGTGTGAGATCAGGGCCCTCAGTATCTGTACATGTGGTATATGTGTGTGTGTGTGAGATCAGGGCCCTCAGTATCTGTACATGTGGTATATGTGTGTGTGTGTGAGATCAGGGCCCTCAGTATCTGTACATGTGGTATGTGCTGATCCATGAGGATGGGAACGTCCAGTCTGGGAATCTCTTCAGGAACGACTCGAGCGGGTCGGAGCGTCGGTCCGGACCGGAGAAATAATGAGCGGAGACGGCCAGAGAGATCGAGCCCTCGTCAGGAGACGCTTCTGAAGCTCTGGGTGACTGAAGACGAGACACACACATCACACACACTATACACACCTCCCAATCACATCAACTCACACCTCCAAACTCTTCATGTTAAATCTCACGCTATACACACACTCCTCATGTTAAACCTGTGGTTCCTGAGCTCTAACTCACACTAGACACACACTCCTCATGTTAAACCTGTGGTTCCTGAGCTGTAACTCACACTATACACACACTCCTCATGTTAAACCTGTGGTTCCTGAGCTGTAACTCACACTATACACACACTCCTCATGTTAAACCTGTGGTTCCTGAGCTCTAACTCACACTATACACACACTCCTCATGTTAAACCTGTGGTTCCTGAGCTGTAACTCACACTATACACACACTCCTCATGTTAAACCTGTGGTTCCTGAGCTCTAACTCACACTATACACACACTCCTCATGTTAACCCTCTGGGGACCAGAGTGTTTTTGGGGCCCTTGGGATGTTTTGACATGCACTGACATTTGTGCTTTTTTCAGTTATTTATAAACATGTTAATGGCAAAGGTGTAAATTCACTCTATATAGCACAAACTTGGCTACCATGATGAGTGAGCAACATGTATGTACATGTTTGTATTTTTAATAGAATAATGTTTATGCGTGGTTATTGAAAAAAATAAAAATGAAAGTTGCTGAAATAAGACCACAAAACACATATTGATTATTTCTTCACAAGACTTTTGAAAATTGAATCACATAGCCTAGAATATTTGCTCCAAAACTATGTGAGAATCATCCTGACTACTCATTCAGATAAGTCAATAAAGTCTTTTACATTTTTAATGACGTGTTTTGTTTGAGAAAGCTTTATGCAGGAGGCGTGGTCTCTCATTAATATGTGTGGAATTTCACACCTGAGAAAGACAAAGACCCTCCCATAATGGCCCTATTAGGTGCTATCAGGCCATATCATTACAGGAGCCTTGCACAAAGAATGAGGAGATTTAAAAAAGAATGGCTTTTAGATTGTTTGGATTTATATAAGGAAAATACAGGGTGCATAAGTCTGGACACTTCTATCACACACCCTTCACCATAAGGACATGGTTTTATTTCAGTTCAAAGTTCAAAGTTAGAGTTGGAAACATCTTGAAAAGAAAATTGTCTTTCTCCATAAATGTCTTAGTTTGATCATACATATTTCAAAGTTGAGGATTCATTATTTTGATATAGCTTGAACAAACACTATAACATCTTAGTTGATTAGTTTATTGACAAAACATACTATATATTATAACATACTAACATATGAGCAGAAACTCCTAAAAAAAGCTTATTTGATGTCTATTTTAGAGTAAAAACTTTATCCAAAACGAGTCAACGAAATGTTATTTAGTCTGTAACAGTGCGTATCTGTGCGTTAATTCATTCATTCATTCACACACACACACACACACACACAAACATGATTCACATTTAACAGTACGCTATTTTTCCGTTTACAGACACTACGTTATTCTATATCGCGATTAGAACAAAGCACTTGCAAAAAACACTTACTTCTCAGCTGAATCTGTTCATCCTCGCAGTGAAAATAAACCCAGTGGTAAATGTCCCAGGATTGTTCCTCATATAGCCGCGCAAGACGACAGTAGATTAATCTGACTAAAAAATAATGTGTGTTTTCAGAGTTTATGGGCGTTAACGCGTCTCAATGTGTTGCTTCACATATTTGCGTTTGAATAGCGCGTGCTCTCCGTGGGCGTGTCACATTACCAGAGATAATCAGCTGAGAGAACGATAATGAGACGGGCTGACACGTCTCTCTTTTTATATAGATGACATAAACGGAGAATATTAATTTTAGTTTTGAATCGGATCATTTAAAAGTACAAACTCAAACGATTTAAAAGATATATTGCTTATGGCTGGGTGAATAGTATTAGCTGAGTTGTGTTGAAGATTAGAGACGTGCTCCAGAAAAAAAGTTCACGGTGACCGAGAGGCAGAACGCACACCCTGTTTATTTTCTTTATTTTACAAAAGCACAATATTTTATTTCGATTGTATGTGGGCACATAAAAAAGTAGACATTTAACAGATTATTTTCTCATATTTCTTAACTCTATATAAACAGAAATGATGGTAGTACTTTAAGTCTATTTTTCTGCTATGTGAAAAAAAACGAGCAAAACGCGCCCGCGCGTTTCTGGTCCCCAGAGGGTTAAACCTGTGGTTCCTGAGCTGTAACTCACACTATACACACACTCCTCATGTTAAACCTGTGGTTCCTGAGCTCTAACTCACACTATACACACACTCCTCATGTTAAACCTGTGGTTCCTGAGCTGTAACTCACACTATACACACACTCCTCATGTTAAACCTGTGGTTCCTGAGCTCTAACTCACGCTATACACACACTCCTCATGTTAAACCTGTGGTTCCTGAGCTCTAACTCACACTATACACACACTCCTCATGTTAAACCTGTGGTTCCTGAGCTCTAACTCACGCTATACACACACTCCTCATGTTAAACCTGTGGTTCCTGAGCTGTAACTCACACTATACACACACTCCTCATGTTAAACCTGTGGTTCCTGAGCTCTAACTCACACTAGACACACACTCCTCATGTTAAACCTGTGGTTCCTGAGCTGTAACTCACACTATACACACACTCCTCATGTTAAACCTGTGGTTCCTGAGCTCTAACTCACACTATACACACACTCCTCATGTTAAACCTGTGGTTCCTGAGCTGTAACTCACACTATACACACACTCCTCATGTTAAACCTGTGGTTCCTGAGCTCTAACTCACGCTATACACACACTCCTCATGTTAAACCTGTGGTTCCTGAGCTCTAACTCACACTATACACACACTCCTCATGTTAAACCTGTGGTTCCTGAGCTCTAACTCACACTATACACACACTCCTCATGTTAAACCTGTGGTTCCTGAGCTCTAACTCACGCTATACACACACTCCTCATGTTAAACCTGTGGTTCCTGAGCTGTAACTCACACTATACACACACTCCTCATGTTAAACCTGTGGTTCCTGAGCTGTAACTCACACTATACACACACTCCTCATGTTAAACCTGTGGTTCCTGAGCTCTAACTCACACTAGACACACACTCCTCATGTTAAACCTGTGGTTCCTGAGCTGTAACTCACACTATACACACACTCCTCATGTTAAACCTGTGGTTCCTGAGCTCTAACTCACACTATACACACACTCCTCATGTTAAACCTGTGGTTCCTGAGCTCTAACTCACGCTATACACACACTCCTCATGTTAAACCTGTGGTTCCTGAGCTCTAACTCACACTATACACACACTCCTCATGTTAAACCTGTGGTTCCTGAGCTCTAACTCACGCTATACACACACTCCTCATGTTAAACCTGTGGTTCCTGAGCTGTAACTCACACTATACACACACTCCTCATGTTAAACCTGTGGTTCCTGAGCTCTAACTCACACTATACACACACTCCTCATGTTAAACCTGTGGTTCCTGAGCTCTAACTCACACTATACACACACTCCTCATGTTAAACCTGTGGTTCCTGAGCTCTAACTCACGCTATACACACACTCCTCATGTTAAACCTGTGGTTCCTGAGCTCTAACTCACACTATACACACACTCCTCATGTTAAACCTGTGGTTCCTGAGCTCTAACTCACACTATACACACACTCCTCATGTTAAACCTGTGGTTCCTGAGCTCTAACTCACACTATACACACACTCCTCATGTTAAACCTGTGGTTCCTGAGCTCTAACTCACACTATACACACACTCCTCATGTTAAACCTGTGGTTCCTGAGCTCTAACTCACACTATACACACACTCCTCATGTTAAACCTGTGGTTCCTGAGCTCTAACTCACACTATACACACACTCCTCATGTTAAACCTGTGGTTCCTGAGCTCTAACTCACACTATACACACACTCCTCATGTTAAACCTGTGGTTCCTGAGCTGTAACTCACACTATACACACACTCCTCATGTTAAACCTGTGGTTCCTGAGCTCTAACTCACACTATACACACACTCCTCATGTTAAACCTGTGGTTCCTGAGCTCTAACTCACACTATACACACACTCCTCATGTTAAACCTGTGGTTCCTGAGCTGTAACTCACACTAGACACACACTCCTCATGTTAAACCTGTGGTTCCTGAGCTCTAACTCACACTATACACACACTCCTCATGTTAAACCTGTGGTTCCTGAGCTCTAACTCACACTAGACACACACTCCTCATGTTAAACCTGTGGTTCCTGAGCTCTAACTCACCTGGATCTCGAACCAGAAGCTCCAGGCCGGAGCGTGGAGGCCGTGGGAGTAGAATATGAAGTATTCCCCGCTGAGGTCGAACTGGGGCGTCCCGTCACCGAATGACCATCCGCTCAGAGACACACCGGCGTCAGGCAGCAGATACAGGGACATGTGTGTCGGGCCTGAGACAGGACAACAGTGTAAACGAGGAGATTATTCATGATTATTACCAGAGAGAGTGTTTGTGAGTCTGATCTAAATGAGTCAAACACAAACACACTGACTGGATTATTAAATGCTGCTAATTATTTCATTTTATTCTCTAAAACGAAGGCAAATATATTTTTGGATATGTATGTGGATATATGTATGTATGTATGCATGTATCTATGTATGTATGTATGTATGTATGTATTTTTGTATGTATATATGTATGTATGTATGTATGCATGTATGAATGCATGTATGTATGCATGTATGTATGTATGTATGTATGTATGTATGTATGTATGTATGTATGTATGTATGTATGTATGCACTATTCAATGTATGCATGTATGAATGTATGTATGCATGTATGTATGTATGCATGTATGAATGTATGTATGCATGTATGTATGTATGTATGTATGTATGTATGTATGTATGCATGTATGAATGTATGTATGAATGTATGTATGCATGTATTTTTGTATGTATGTATGTATGTATGCATGTATGTATTTTTGTATGAATGTATGTATGTATGTATGTATGCATGTATGTATGTATGTATTTTTGTATGAATGTATGTATGTATGTATGTATGTATGTATGTATTTTTGTATGAATGTATGTATGTATGTATGTATGTATGCATGCATGTATGTATGTATGTATGTATGTATGTATGTATGTATGTATGTATGTATGTATGTATGTATGTATGTATGTATGTATGTATGTATGTATGCATGCATGTATGTATGTATGTATGTATGTATGTATGCACTATTCAATGTATGCATGTATGAATGTATGTATGCATGTATGAATGTATGTATGTATGTATGTATGTATGTATGTATGTATGTATGTATGTATGTATGTATGTATGTATGTATGCATGCATGTATGTATGTATGTATGTATGTATGCACTATTCAATGTATGCATGTATGAATGTATGTATGCATGTATGAATGTATGTATGTATGTATGTATGTATGTATGTATGCATGTATGTATGTATGTATGTATGCATGTATGTATGTATGTATGCATGTATGCATGTATGAATGTATGTATGTATGTATGTATGTATGTATGCATGTATGTATGTATGTATTTTTGTATGAATGTATGTATGTATGTATGTATGTATGTATGTATGTATGTATGTATGTATGTATGCACTATTCAATGTATGCATGTATGAATGTATGTATGCATGTATGTATGTATGTATGTATGTATGCACTATTCAATGTATGCATGTATGAATGTATGTATGCATGTATGAATGTATGTATGTATGTATGTATGTATGTATGTATGTATGTATGCATGTATGTATGTATGTATGTATGCATGTATGTATGTATGTATGTATGTATGTATGCATGTATGTATGTATGTATGTATGTACCGTATGTATGCATGTATGTATGTATGTATGCATGTATGAATGTATGTATGTATGTATGTATGTATGCATGTATGTATGTATGTATGTATGTATGTATGTATGTATGTATGTATGTATGTATGCATGTATGTATGTATGTATGTATGTATGTAGTATGTACCGTATGTATGCATGTATGTATGTATGCATGTATGAATGTATGTATGTATGTATGCATGTATGCATGTATGTATGTATGTATGTATGTATGTATGTATGTATGTAGTATGTACCGTATGTATGCATGTATGTATGTATGCATGTATGAATGTATGTATGTATGTATGTATGCATGTATGTATGTATGTATGTATGTAGTATGTACCGTATGTATGCATGTATGTATGTATGCATGTATGAATGTATGTATGTATGTATGTATGTATGTATGTATGCATGTATGTATGTATGTATGTATGTATGTATGCATGTATGTATGTATGTATGTATGTATGCATGTATGTATGTATGCATGTATGTATGTATGTATGTATGCATGTATGTATGTATGTATGTATGTATGTATGTATGTATGTATGTATGCATGTATGCATGTATGTATGTATGTATGTATGTATGTATGTATGTATGTATGTATGTAAGCATGTATGTATGTATGTATGTATGTATGTATGTATGTATGTATGTATGTATGCATGTATGTATGTATGCATGTATGTATGTATGTATGTATGTATGCATGTATGTATGTATGTATGTATGCATGTATGTATGTATGTATGTATGTATGTATGCATGCATGTATGTATGTATGTATGTATGTATGTATGTATGTACCGTATGTATGCATGTATGTATGTATGCATGTATGAATGTATGTATGTATGTATGTATGTATGCATGTATGTATGTATGTATGTATGTATGTATGTATGTATGCATGTATGTATGTATGTATGTATGTATGTAGTATGTACCGTATGTATGCATGTATGTATGTATGCATGTATGAATGTATGTATGTATGTATGTATTCATGTATGCATGTATGTATGTATGTATGTATGTATGTATGTATGTATGTAGTATGTACCGTATGTATGCATGTATGTATGTATGCATGTATGAATGTATGTATGTATGTATGTATGCATGTATGTATGTATGTATGTATGTAGTATGTACCGTATGTATGCATGTATGTATGTATGCATGTATGAATGTATGTATGTAAGCATGTATGTATGTATGTATGCATGTATGTATGTATGTATGTAAGTATGTATGTATGTATGTATGTATGTATGTATGTATGTATGTATGTATGTATGTATGTAGTATGTACCGTATGTATGCATGTATGTATGTATGCATGTATGAATGTATGTATGTATGTATGTATGTATGTATGCATGTATGTATGTATGTATGTAAGTATGTATGTATGTATGTATGTATGTATGTATGTATGTATGTATGTATGTATGTATTCATGTATGCATGTATGTATGTATGTATGTATGTATGTATGTATGTAGTATGTACCGTATGTATGCATGTATGTATGTATGCATGTATGAATGTATGCATGTATGTATGTATGCATGTATGAATGTATGTATGTAAGCATGTATGTATGTATGTATGCATGTATGTATGTATGTATGTAAGTATGTATGTATGTATGTATGTATGTATGTATGTATGTATGTATGTATGTATGTATGTATGTAGTATGTACCGTATGTATGCATGTATGTATGTATGTATGTATGTATGTATGTATGTATGTATGCATGTATGTATGTATGTAAGTATGTATGTATGTATGTATGTATGTATGTATGTATGTATGTATGTATGTATGTATGTAGTATGTACCGTATGTATGCATGTATGTATGTATGTATGTATTCATGTATGCATGTATGTATGTATGTATGTATGTATGTATGTATGTAGTATGTACCGTATGTATGCATGTATGTATGTATGCATGTATGAATGTATGTATGTATGTATGTATGCATGTATGTATGTATGTATGTATGTAGTATGTACCGTATGTATGCATGTATGTATGTATGCATGTATGAATGTATGTATGTAAGCATGTATGTATGTATGTATGCATGTATGTATGTATGTATGTAAGTATGTATGTATGTATGTATGTATGTATGTATGTATGTATGTATGTATGTATGTATGTATGTATGTAGTATGTACCGTATGTATGCATGTATGTATGTATGCATGTATGAATGTATGTATGTATGCATGTATGTATGTATGTATGTATGCATGTATGTATGTATGTAAGTATGTATGTATGTATGTATGTATGTATGTATGTATGTAAGCATGTATGTATGTATGTATGTATGTATGTAAGCATGTATGTATGTATGTATGTATGCATGTGTAGGGATTGAAGGGACAATCATTGATTCTCTTGTAGTAAAATCCTTAACTCACAACAGGAAAAGTTAAGAACAAAGAACCCTAACTAACCCACATTCCTATTACCATGTGGTCCCGTGATAAGGTTTCCAACCTTCCAAACTGGCGCCTAGAAGTCTAGAGAGCAAATGGACTTTCAAACATTTATGGTGATAAATGGTCCTGAATGTCCATTAAACAGCGAATTCCCCCTCTTGAGACAACACCCAGACCTTCTTCACTCCCTCCTGACGGAAATCGGGCGGGAGAGGCGAGAACAGATGTCCCGTCTGCGTGCAATACACATTTACGCACACACCCTTGTTCACACACACATACCTATGAACCCTAGGTTTCTATCTATAAATCGGCATTAAAACAGAGTTGGTGTATTAAAATACCTGTAACAGAACTACCTATATATGCCATTTCCAAAGTAAGCTTAAGGTCCTTCTAGTCATAAAGATGCAAATTGATTCCGAATGACCCACTCGGGGGGCGTAGGCTCTCTTCAAGATGGGCCATTATCATTGGCCGACACACCTATCCAAGGCGTGTTCTGTTTATCTTTAAAACCCCAAACTCAGAGACATTCGTTCTCTGTTCTCTGTTCCCTGTTCCTGTATCCTGATGTAATCCTCGTGTTTTATTTTGTTCCTGTTTTATTTTGTCTTCGTTTTATTTTGCGCATAGCCAGTCTGTCCTTAGTGCGGTCCTCGAGATACCCACGTGCGTTTCGTTAGTCTTCCAGCATCCCAGCGAAAGGACTATCTTCACGCATACAGAACTGCGTTAGAACTTTTAAATCTCCCGCGACAACCACGCTTGGAGGAATCAAAGAAGCCCGCCTCCTATTCCCAGGACGCCACGAGCTCGCTTCCACACCGCTCTAACCAGGTCTGAATGCAAACTGTTCCATCTAAATTTAGACGCTCTGAAGTGTGTATTCTTAGGCTGTCTCTGAGGGCCTAACTGTGCTACCAATTGTGTTTTTCCCTGTGTTTCTACCTTCTTTTCTTATTGTTTAAGTTCATTTTGGTTTCATATATATCTTTGTTTTACATGTAGTGTAGTTCATTAAACCTCATTTATACTTTATTGCCTCTGTGTTTG